CACCAATCCCGTGCCCTGTCCTTCAGAAGACAGGACGCCAATCTGACCTTGTCCCCCTCGGGACACCTGCTAGTGCGGAAAGCGTTGGCCACATCCGCCAACCATCTGGTACTCGCTATGGGGTCCCGCGCCCCATGATAGTCTGGAGCTCCGCATGCCCTGAACTCCCTGAACGTAAGTGTGCGCGACCCCATCATGGCCGCCATCTCAGCACGAAAACCACCCAATCTCTCATCCATCAGCTCTAAAATACCCTCCTTGATCGAACCGAAGATCACAGGAGTCTGCTCCAGTATGATGCGGGTAACCTCAGAAGAAAGGAACTCTCTGGTCTGCTCATCCATCTGCCCGACCTCCGGGCCTGATCCCGATCCTGATCCCCCTCCGGCATCTGAGCTGCCGACTGCTGGTCTCGGGCGCAAAACTACCATTCTGAAACATATCATAACAACATCAAAACACTGAAATATCACAAGGGATCGTGATACTACTACTAGCTTCCTGGTCTTGTCTTGGCCTTCCTTGATTCGAGTACGGATCCTCTGCTTTCAGTAGTACGGGCCCATACTACCTTCCACATCTATCCGTACTTTCCTCAAGGACTGCCTTGACTCCACCAAGTCACTTCTACTACTGCTATTCTCTGCTACTCTCATCCTAGGCTTGCCCTAGGGAAACCTCAGACTTAACACAACTGGTCCTCAGCTGCTGAAGGTCTCCTCATAATGCCAATTAGCCACTACCTAAACACCATCACATGTGATGAGGATCAGATAATCCTTCAAGTAAAAGACCCGTCCCTATAACGGTTGGACTCAAACAAGAGCTGCGCAATAGGGCCAGTTCCAGCACTCTGGGATTATTCAACCCTGACCACATGTGGTGTGACGTGTTCACCTAATGGCTAACTCCCATCACTCAGATTCCCACAAAGCACGAAGCAAGCAACATTCGGACAAGGGAAACAGACTCAAGCAAAACTATTCTCGTAACAAGAAACTGCACTAGCATAGGATGCTAAGCTCCCACTATCAGGCATAACCTAATCAGGCTATCCTACTGCTGTCTACTCAATTCTAGCATGCAATACTCATAAAGCTGTAATACATAAAGCAGGCACATAAGGCATTCTCCTAGATCCTTAGTCCTATATTAGCATGCTGTTCTACTGAAACTGAAACTGAACAAATAACTTGTATGGGTAATTTGGGAGTACTTACTTGAGCTCGGCTGATCGCATGCACACACCTCTATCTCGTTAAAAAAAACGATTTCTTTCCTTCTAAGTGCTTTCAAAATTCTTTTTGTAAAACGTTTTTATTTATTTATTTATTTATTTTTAAAATAAAATCTTTTATTTCCCTTAGTTTGAGTTCAGATACACCCGGAAGTGTATCCGAATCCCTCAAACCAGGGCTCTGATACCAACTTGAAACGACCCAAAAATACGACCCAAAAATTTTGTTTTTCAATGTAATCAAAACCATAATCTGAGTATCATAACATAAAAACATACGCGATGTATCCCAAATCATAATAAAATACTGTGCGGAAAAACTGTATCATACTATATCAAATCAAGACAACTAAAACCATCCCCAGGATAAAAGCTAAGCTGTGGTGTGTGCGATGCTATCACCCCGAGCTCTTCCCTTTGCTTGCGGAAGTACCTGAAACCAAAACTGAAACTGTAAGCACGAAGCTTAGTGAGCTCCCCCAAACTACCACATACCATACAGTATCATATAAACACATATTGGGCCTGGCCCACTGCATCGGGCCGAAGCCCGGAAACTGCATCGGACCGAAGTCCGGAACTGACTGGGACCTTGTCCCCTGCATCGGACCGAAGTCCGGAACTAACTGCATCGGACCAAAGTCCGGAAAACTATCTGCATCGGACCGAAGTCCGGAACCGACTGGGACCTTGTCCCCTGCATCGGACCGAAGTCCGGAACTGACTGACTGAACATGGCATAGCATAACACATCATCTAGCATGAACACATATACTGCATACTACATCGGGCCGTAGCCCGGAACACATAACACTTAACACATAAAACATAGCATACAAATCCTGTCTGAGCCACGAAGGCATCAAACATACTAGCTACTGCATCGGACCAAAGTCCGGAAACTACTGCTAACTGAACGGGCCGGCATTGTGGCCTTAGACCCGTCCCTACTGGAAGGAAACTCACCTCGTAAACTGGCTGCTGAGTGTGTGGCTCTGGAAGCTAACGGCTGCTGCTCCTGTATCTCCCCGGCTACAAGTCCATAAACACACTCAATCAAATACTAAACACTGCACTTGGGTAAAATGACTCTTTTACCCTTGGTCAAAGTTACTCTCATTTGGACTGACTCGCCGAGTTGGGCCACCCAACTCGCCGAGTCCTACTCTCACTTTTCAATCCTACTCGCTGCTACTCGTCGAGTATGGCATCGACTCGACGAGTACCCTCTTGATCCAAGAACTCAGACAATCTTCATCCGACTCGCCGAGCCGTATGAACATACTCGACGAGTTGTTCTTGATCTTAAGAAGATTGCCTTGGACTCGCCGAGTTGTATGAACAACTCGCCGAGTCCCTCCATTACTGAGTCTACCTTCAACTCGCAGAGTCCACTCTCTAACTCACTGGTTCCACTCAACACTGCTAAAAATGAAGGAATCGGGGACTCGCGACTCAACTCGCCGAGTTGCCGCCATGCAACTGTTTTTCACCCGATTTTGCTTGAATCCAACACATACAAATGATAGATCTGAGTCCAATAAGCTGGTTTACCACGTAAAGTTTCCAACTTTACGTGTACAACACATGAATAAGGGAAAATAAGGCTAAAAGATGCATAAAAGGGATAGATCTAGGGTTAATATGCAAAGTATCCTCATAAAGGCAATAGATCTGGACTATGGGACTTCTCAATGAATAGATCCAAGGTTATCTCGGCTTATTAGGGCGTTCATGAAAGCACAAGGCTTGGAACAAGCATCAACTAGTTCTTAGAAGAGTTCTAATGGAGGTTTAAAGCATAAAACAAGAGGGGAATCCGAAAATACCTCCAAATAACTCAGATTTGCCCTTGGATCTTGCACAACTCTTCTTCTCCTTGCTCCTTTCTTCTTCTCCTTCTTCAAGCCTTCACAAATCACACAAAATCACTTATAAACTCTCAAGGATGAACTAGGGTTTTTCTCACAGTGTTCTCAGGGTGAAGGAGGCAAGAATGGGGCTATAAGGTGACTTAAATAGTGGGCAACCCGGGGATTTAGGGTTTCACCCAGACGGATGGACTCGCCGAGTCCGGGATATGGACTCGCCGAGTCTCCAGCTAACACGTGCTCGAAGTCGCGACCCTACTCGGCGAGTCAGGCTATGAACTCGCCGAGTCCCTCTTGCAAATCTTTAAAACAATTACTAATAAATTAACATACCGGGAACGGGTCGTTACACCGCACAACCCCCGTACATGTATTAGAGTACAAATCATGAAGCCCCTTAACTCACATGTTAGTTCCAGTTACTTAAAATGACATGGTGACACTAAAATCACCAACAAGAAACGCTATGATCGTGTCCTGAAAAATGCATAGAAAACAAAAGCGCATAAATTTACTCCACCGAATACTATCCATGTTGTCATTTTTTATGCAATTTCTCTCTCTCTCTCTCTCTCTCTCTCTCTCTCTCGTTCCTATCTTCCCTACCACCCGAGACTGTTTTCATCATCCACCATCAATGAAAAGACATACTTGTTGTCTGTTTGCACTACACACTATTCTTATTCTTCATTTGAAAAAAAAAACGGAGATGTCGCCGAGGGATAAACCAAATACATGTTCGTAAGAGAATGAACATATGAGAATAATATTTGTATCGAGCATCTTGATCCTAACAATATGCTAATGGATCCTATTACAAAAGGCCTACTATCGAAGGTAGTTATAGAACATGTTCGATACGCGTTTAAAACTAGACCTAGTATAATGTAATCTAGAATAATGTATTATTGAAACCATTGATTTTAATTATTAAAATACTTGATCATTATTCATCCATTATATGTAGCTTGCAATATTAATAAATTATACAAATTTATTTTTTCTATAGACATACCTTATTGAACTATCACTTATGATCAAGTAATTTGGCTTAATATATGTCATGTTATACTTTTATGTTTTTGGTATTAATATAAGACAATATCGATTTATCATCACCAAATTAATATGGACATGTATCTACATAACTACGTATCTACACAGTAGGGACGGTTCAACCTTATATTTTTCTAAGTTAGGGCTTAGGGCCTCTAATTCTAAAGGTTCACATCTTCTTCAAATTTAACCCAATATTAATAAAACTTTGTGTCTGTGATTCACAAAAACATATAAATAAATAAAAAATAACTTTGTCATTTATAAACTTTTTAGTTTATTATTGTTCGTCAAAAAGCCTCATATTTTTATGTCGTTTAGAGCCCTCAAATTGGTTGAGTCGCCCTACTACATTAGCTACCATCAATAAAAATAATAAACTAAAAAGTTATCAATATTAGATTTGGTTTAAGATTTATTAAGAATCATAAAATGATATCTATCTTTATCCAATAGAAAGTTCTCAATGTTATCATTTTCAAATAAGTGTTAGATTTGGTTTAAGATTTATTAAGATTATGTTGAATTGATACTAGATTTTTTCAATAATAAAATTTAAAAATATCAAATCAAATATTTACAAAATTAGGATGCAAAAGTAGAAGAAAAAAAAATAAGTATTAAATAAAAATATATCAATTGCCAAATCATATAATTAGTACCCGTAAAAGATGGTGTTAGTAAAACTAGAGAGAGAAAATGGAATATTTTATTCCCATGGCTATTTTTTAAGAATGCAAATTATGCAATAACATGCGATGCTCATAAAACTCGTTTGTTATGTTATAAACGTAAAAGGATTATCGAACTTTTTGTGGGAAAGAAAAGAAAAGAAAAGAAAATGTATGTTCCACGAATCTTTTTTCTGCCGGGAAGATTTTTTTAAAGTTAACCGTTCATACAAAAGCAATTTCTTTACAGCAAGAGTGTTGTAATCACTAAGCAATCCCTTTAACTAATTGTGAATACCCAACTAAGCCTACCCCATTCTTTTTCATCATGATCATATAAACAATGCTAAAAGCAGTGTGCTTTGTGGGTTTAATCATACCGACGTAAAGACCTTTCATTCTTCTTTAATTGTTGCATGTGGATTCGGTAGAGTACATACAACTCATAGTTTCCATGTGCAATTCTAATTTCCGATTTTGATTGTATGATTATTGGTTTCTTTATTACCTTTTTGTTCTTCGACTGATTCGATCTACTTCTGTCCTCCCCAGTGACAGAATCTTCGATAGCGTGATTGTGCGAGGTTTTGACGTTTTCAAATTGTTGACTCGTTTGTTAAGTGGAGATCTCAGTTCACTACAATCTCTTCCATGACTGTAAGAAGATTTTGCGATTCATGCTGAGCTTTTCTAGAGTTCAATTAGTCATTCCTTATTTACAATGCCAGGTAATCTGTTGTCGATTTTGTTGAATTTTGAAGTTATTTGATTTGAATTTTGACCTAAAGGAACAACGATTTTTAAATTGATCATGTTGAAGCAGTAAGATATGATTTGGGGAAATTTGAGGAAGAGAAGAGAAGGATTAGGGTTCGATCTTTGAAGAAAAAAGCTCTGGTTGCTTCATCAAGGTTGTCAAACTCCCTCAGAAAACGACGGGTTTCTAATTGCCAATTTGCACACGTTTCCATTGATGATGTTCGAGATGAGGAGGAAGAGAAGGCCGTTAATGCATTCCGGCAGGTGTTGATTGAGAAAGATTTGCTTCCATTTTGTCATGATGATTACCACACTTTATTGAGGTAGATTGATCGATCTTTCATAAGTGCTTTTTTCAAAATCACAAATAAAAGCCTCTTTCCTAGCTTTCGCCTTTCTGTATAAAGGGGCTGTTTATTTATAGGGTATTAGGATTGTTTTTTTTTTTTTTTTTTTTTTTTTTTTACGTAGAATGACTACGGATTGAGCAAGAAAACTAGCCTATTCAGACGCCACCTTTTTTACCTATTTGTCTTTCTTCTTTTTCTTAGGAACCCCTCTCATGCTTAAATTTGTTACATATGATGATATGATTTTTTTTTTAATGTAAGGGTAAAATGGTCATTTAGCCTTATTCAGATGACTTATTAAGTCTAGAAAACAAACAAACACAACCTGACCTTATGTCTAGACATACATCATTATCCTTCAACCACTTTATCATCGTTATTTATGCATTAAGTCAAAAAGAAAACGCACATAAGTACGTAACTGATTTTGTAAAATCCTTTTTATTTTATTTGCCTTCCAAAAGTTTGTTATGCTTATACATTCTGAAAAAGATCTGTTTTGAACAAAAAATTGCCAAATATGAGATTCACATTGCAGTTACATTTTCGAACTTGTCAAAAGTTGCATGTTCTTGAAAACTATGTTGTTTTTTTCTTTTTGTCTTTACACAACAATGGTAGTTTGTTTGAAAAGAAAATATCTACAATACGTCAGAAAGTTAATGAGCCAATATTTGTTTTTCATATTTTGTGATTGGAGTTTTGTGGTGTAAATATTTCCGTTTGCAAGCAAATAATGATGACGATTCTTCATAATCACTTGAAAAACAAATTTAGAACCACTTTGAGCTAGATGATAAATAGTAAAATACAAAGTTATTATTGCCAAAATCATTACAATACTGTTACATAATTTGAATTTGACCTAAAAGTCAAATGTTATCCTTTTGATTTGTTATTGTGACACCCTTTGACTTTTGAGGTCAACATATTTCCATTTGCAAGCAATAATGATAAGAGTTCTTCAAATTCACTTGAAGAATTTGAGAACCCTATTTAAGATACATAGTGATTAATCAAAACACTTAAAAATGTTATTGCCAAGATAGATATTCCCTTATCAAATTTTAGTTTCAAAAAAAAATTATAATCAGACTTTTGAAGTCATATCGATATCATCTCTTTTTTAGAACATATGAAGTAATTGCTCTAAACACAAAAACTACAAAAACTTATAGCTTTTATAAGGTTTTTCTTAATCCTGCCTTCTTGTATGCTGATTTTTTTAAATATGATTGCAGATTCTTGAAGGCAAGAAAGTTTGACCTTCATAAAGCAGTCAACATGTGGGCAGACATGCTCAACTGGCGAAAAGAATATGGTGCAGACTCCATCAGACAGGTACTTCTTGTAACTATCATATCATATTATCTTTACAACTACTTTTGCAACACGTCTCATTTCAAAACAAGTTTATTTTGACTTTAAGGTCAAATATATTACTTTTCAACTTCAAATCAAAATCAATAAGGGTCCTACAAATTTCCATAAGAAATATTAATACCTAAACATGGACTTTATGGCTTTATTTGTTACATGGAAGGGACTTGACAAGTTTTTATCAGGCTATTAGCTATAGACGAGGAGGGCATTCACGTCTTTTGCACATACAAGAGATCTCCAACAAGTCCTTGTCCCACTTTTTTGGGTAGGATACAAAATTGCAAGTTTTGTCCTATTGACATCAGTCACTGTCACTGTGTTGATGGTTAGCATCAAGTATGAGTTGTTTCTTGAGTAATGAACAAAAAAAGAGAGGCGATTACAATGTTTTGACAATGATTATAATGAAATGATGTTTGAAAGGATTTCATTTATGAAGAGTATGAAGAGGTTCAAGGGTATTATCCTCATGGTTATCATGGTGTGGATAAAGAGGGAAGGCCTGTTTATATTGAAAGACTTGGAAAAGTGGAACCCAGTAAGCTTATGAGTGTGACAACAGTGGAAAGGTTTTTAAGGTATCATGTACAAGGCTTTGAGAAAGCTTTTGCTGAGAAATTTCCAGCATGTTCTGTTTCAGCAAGAAGACATATCGATTCTTTTACCACAATATTGGATGTTCATGGCATGGTTAGCTTTATTTATTCTCTCTCTCTCTCTTGCTAAATAGCAGTTCACTTTCATCTATTTGTTTATTATAGCACTTTACTATGAGAAAGCTACTGATTTATATTAATTTTTGTATTAATCTGAGGGTTTCTTGATTTATGTAGAACTGGATGAGTTTTGGAAAAGTTGCAAATGATTTGGTCATGCGTATGCAGAAAATAGATGGTGACAACTATCCTGAGGTGCAAACCCAAATGCCAAATTTTCTTCTACATTTATCGTTTTTTTTACTGATTCTTTTTTTTTTTTTTCCTAATCAGACATTGCATCAGATGTTCATAGTAAATGCTGGAAGTGGATTTAAATTACTATGGAATACAGCAAAAGGGTTTCTTGATCCAAGAACAACAGCAAAAATAAACGTATGCTTCACCATACCCATCTTTTCAAATCATTTTACTTCATTTTCATTGCTATGTAAAAGCTATTTTCAATTATGAGGATGAGGGCATTCACGTCTTTCACAGGTTCTTGGTAATAAATATCAGAATAAGTTGTTGGAAGTTATAGACTCAAGGTATGTGTGTTAGTGTATACTTTTTATTTGCTTTAAATGCATTACATTTACTAAAAAAAAACTTGCATATTTATTTCATTATGTAGTCAATTACCCGATTTTCTTGGTGGGACATGTTCATGTCCAAATGAAGGTGGATGTCTTAGGTCAGATAAAGGACCTTGGCATGATTTAGAACTCATGAAGGTATGTTCATTCTTTTTTTTATTTTATCTCTCTATGTGAATGTGTGTTTATTTTGTTGACTTGGATTTTTTACAGGTGGTCAACAATGGAGATTTGAGGAGAAGTTGTAGCTACTATGAGGATGTTGACTTAGAGGTCAAGTCAATTGTTTCAGAGGTGGGGTTTTGACTCATATCTTGTGTAGATTATTCGTGATTATCGCATTTTTATAATTATTTTATTTGATGCAGACACCAAGCAGTAAATTTTCAGAGGATTTAGTATCTAATTCAGGATTCGATAGATCAACGTCTCTTAGCCACAGGGTAAGTCTTTGTTAATTTATAAGGTAAATAAATAACATGCTCAATGGAAACATTTAACATACTAATTTAGTTTTTTTTTTCTTCTGTTATAGGACTATATAAATAATCTTGTATCTAATAGCCCTAGATTTGAACGGATAGTTTCTAGTACTCAGATCGACATTGTTCCCTCAAGTAAGTGATTGTTAGTTTGTATTGTATTGTCAAACAATCATAATGTACAAATTCAAAAAAATATTTAAGATGTTTTTTGTTTTCATTTTTTGAAGCAGATGATTTGATACAAAGAAGAAGCATTAAAAATGTGGTTGATTTCGCTTACAAAGTAGTAGGATGTATATTTTTTCTTGTTGAATTGGGGAAGTTTTTAGTGGGATTTATAACAAAAAAATGGTGCAATTGGAAAGATAAACCCCGATTTGTGGATGATTTGAGTCCTCAAAAGAAGGACTTTTTGCAGCCATTTGAAGAGAAGTTGAAACAATTAGAAGAGTTGGTATTAGTTCTTTCTAGCAAACCTTCTAAAATTCCTCAAGAGAAAGATGAAATTCTTGTTGAATCTTTGAATCGTATAAGGTCAATGGAGTATGACTTGCAAAAGACAAAGAAAGTATGGATTTTTATTCTTTCTCGGTTTAAATGAAAAAAAAAAATCTAATCCCATTGTTGAAAAATATACCTAACCAAAGCAATTTCATCCAAAATACAAAACAATTTTCACTGCTATAGCTAGGTAGTCCTTTCACAACATAATATGCTAATAAGAAAAAAACGGAAATACAATACTATAATGGGTAGAATTTCGATGTAAAATGGCTAAATAAGAAAAAAATAAAATAAAAAGTACAATGTTGTAATAGAAAGAAATGGAAGTACATTGCTATTTCTTGCATTTAGCCCTTGTTTCATTGTTTTGTTTTTGCAGGCCTTATTTGCTACGGCTTCAAAACAGATGGAGCTTGAGGAATCACTCGAGACTTTACGAGAGGGTGCCATAACAGTAAGTACTCAACAAGGTTTAATTTCTAGAAACAACAATCAAAGTATTTCTATTGATTTGTTTATTATAGCATCATACTTTCATTTCTTCACATTACATATCCACCCAATTATAGTAATATCATCCAAATACAAAGCAATTTTCACTTCTATGACTCGGTAGATTTTTCAAAGACTTGTAAGAAAAAATTGAAGTAGAAAGCTATAATTTGGTAGACTTTTCAAAGTACGATGCCTTAATAATAAGAAGAAAAAAATGAAATAAGTACGCTGACAATCTTAAGTTGGAATAATAGGCAGCAAACTCATGTTGGGTAAGACGTCCCAAGTCAACTTTGCGTGGAACAAGATGAAGTTTGAATTCTTGGCTTTTTACATTTCAATATTTCGTTAAATTTTAGACAATTTCCACCATGCTATTGTTGGAGATACGTTGTATTCAGCCATAAGGAGTGACAATTAAAACTCAAGGTGTTGCCAATCTCTTCCATACTAGCTGTTTTATTTATACACATTACAAACACTATCATTTGCTCAATTTGTTTTTTTGTTTTTTTGTTTGTATTACAGGATGTGCTCTTGATGGTCTTCTGAATGTGTTAAGAGGTGTGGATGTTTGTTGATAGATAGTTTACATTGTGCAGGGAGTGATATATATAATAGCTCCGTATAGAAAAATGAAAAATAAGAAAACAAAAACAATAGAAACCGGACAATTTGTTGTAACTTGTGACTGTAACTTGTAGTTTGGCTATAGATGTATCATGTATATTTTTTTTCGTGGTGGTTGTTAATATATGTTAATGGCTTCAAATTGTTTGATTTATAGTGTAAAGGATTGGTCGTTAAAGTTCACCAAAAGTCAGTCTTGTTAATGCAGAAAAACGTCAGCGACCTCTTTGTTGATTTTGAAAACTTTGAACCCATGCTGTTTATCAAGTTACAGATAATGATTAATGGATAAATTTAAGGAAAGTACATTGCTTATCCTCTTGATGTTTAAGGATAAAAAATCAATGAATTTATTGCTAACGAGCCAAACATATGTAAACATTTGCCGAATTTTTGTCTGAAAACAATTGTCGGTCTTTTGTCGTTAAAAAATAAGACATGTTTTTTCATAAATAATATCAAAATTTTCGAACTTTATGGAAGATTTCACTTTTCAAAATTGTGAGTCTAACAAAACCACAAACACCCCTATATTTTAAGGGTAAATTCATAAGATAATGAAAAGTTTTAGGTCAATTTTCATTTTAGAAAATATTTTTCTTTGTTGATGCATAATCATTTTCAGTGGTTACAAATTTTCAAGTACATAACTTAATAGTTCTTTCTTTTCTAATTAATGAGCTTTATAGGTTAAGCATTTTAATATGAACATTTATACATGAATGATTATTTTAGATTTAATATGGACGGAATGAATGAAAGAGCTAAGCCAAAAAAATATTATGTCAACTTTTATCTATTTTCCCTTCTTATATTTTTCATCAAATTTCATCACGTGTTGGAATTGATAAATTTTATTAAAATTAATCCTTAATATGAAAATTATTTGATAGAGTTACAATAAAATAATCATTTAGTTTCATTGAGACGGTTTATCGGTCCATAATACATAATATTTATGCACGCATCATTACATATTCGATCGTTCCATGATTATTTCACCCATACAAGTTTCAATGGAAAAAAACCCGACTAATCTAATGTAATAACTTGTACATAGTGATCTATCATGTTCAACACTTAAGATTACACACATCCATAATTTTTTAATTAAAGAATTATTATTTATGATAGGTACCAATCTATACCTTATTAGCTTAAACGAGTTTAACCATTAAAATTTTAATGTGCTTTAATAACCAATCAAAATGCATATAGAAAGCTTTTAAATATGTTATGTAAAAGAACAGAAAATTATCTCCTTGAAAAAAAAATACATAATTATTTTGCCTAAAATGATTATTAACGCTGTTAATATTTGCATTTGACCCAACATAATATTAGTAAAAATTTACAAAACTCTATTAGGGACTATAAGTAACATTGTTTCATACGTTTAGGGACTATCGATTCAATCCACCATTCCACCCTTCTAGATAAATCAACGGATTTTCGTGAACAGTTTACAGGCCCGCCATTTTTGAAAGCATGATAACTTCCATCAGTCAACCAATTTCTCACTTTCAAAAAAATTCAGCATTTTTATAAATAACGATCCGACAAAGTCTTACAACACCCTTTGATTCTTCAACCATTAGGCAGTGATTATCGGAGATGGCGATGAATCAAGTGGTGGTGATGCCGTACCCAGCTAGAGGCCACCTGAATCCTCTAATGAGCCTCTGTGACTTGCTTTCTTCCAGATCAGACGGCACCACCATCTTCACCGTCGTCGTCACGGAGGAGTGGTTAGGACTCATCGGATCTGATCCAAAACCTGATAATGTCCGATTCGCCACCATTCCCAATGTAATTCCATCTGAGCATGGCCGCGGCTCCGACATGATCGGATTCCTCACCGCTGTTCAAACCAAAATCGAAGCTCCATTTGAAGAGGTGCTTGATCAGTTAAAGCTTCCGGTGAAACTCATAATCGCCGATGCTTTTTTGAGCTGGATTCTAGATGTTGCTGACCGGAGGAATATTCCGGTGGCAGCCTATTGGGCGATGTCTGCATCAATGTTTACTATGTGGTATCATGTCGACCTCCTTGAACAGCATCGCCACATTTTTGTTGATTTATCAGGTGCGTGATTTCTGATTTCTCGAAAAAACTGTTTTCATTTTCCTGACATCACATGTAATGATCGATATGAACTTACAGAAAGAGAAGAAGAATGGATCGATTACATCCCTGGATTACCTCCCACGAAAGTTGCAGATATGTCTCCAGTCACCAGGGAACAACTTCATGTTTCACCTAATCTCATAGCAATGATGAAAAGAGTTCAATCTCTTCTCCTACCCACAATCTATGAGTTAGAACACGAAGCTGTGGATGCACTAAGATCCGAATTAAACAAACCCATCTACACATTTGGACCAAACATACGCCAACTCCAACCCCAATCACACGAATCCAAATCCAAATACATGACATGGCTAGATTCCAAGCCTCCAAACAGTGTTCTATACATTTGTTTGGGAAGCTTTCTTTCGGTTTCCACTTCCCAAATGGATGAAATCGCAGCCGGTTTAAAGCAAAGCGGTGTGAAATTTTTATGGGTCGCTAAAGGAAGGTTGAACGAGAGTTTTGGTGATGAAGGGTTGGTTGTGGAATGGTGTGATCAAATTAGGGTTTTGTTGCATTCTTCGGTGGGAGGGTTTTGGAGTCACTGTGGGTGGAATTCAGTGAAGGAGAGTGTGTATTCTGGTGTTCCGATGTTGACTTTTCCGATATTTGCAGACCAACCACTTAATAGCAAGGTGGTTGTAGATGATTGGAGGAATGGATGGAAGATGAAGAAGGAACTGCGTAGAAATAATCTGGTGAAGAGGGGGGAAATTGCAGAGATTGTGAGTCGGTTTATGGATAATGAAAGTGTGGAGAGAAGAGAAATGGTGGAACGGGTGAAAAATCTTCGGGATGTTTGTCGTGTGAGTATTGAGAAAGGTGGATCAGCTGTGAAAGACGTCGATGTTTTTATTAAAAACAATATATCTAATGACTCCTCATGACAAATGCAAATATAAGATTATGAATAAGACAGTTAGATACACGGATAATGATTTGATAGGATAAGATACTTTTAAAAATATAGAGATTTAGTTCTTATTCTTTTTTTTCTTGTAAAATAAACTCTTATACTTTATTAATATGTACACATTAAATCCTTTTCACCGAATTCTACAGGTTTTGCTGACGTGGAAGAGTTTATTTTACAAAAAAAAAAAAAAAGAATAAGGACTAAATATGTACATTTCAAAAAGTATTTTACCCTATCAAATCATTTTCCCTTTCTTTTATTTTGTTGAAATGAAATACCCAGGTGACATCCACATATCCACAACGTGATTTTTCCAACTTTTATTCATCATGAAAAAGAGGGAGAACCCCGATCTCCTGCGACTCCTTTGTGTGTTCCTACACATCACTAGTACCAAGGAGAAATGATGGCAAAAACAACAAGGTCGAAGGGGGAGGGGAGAGGAAGTAGAGACGGTAGTTGGCGGCGAGGAGCTACTCTGGTAGCCCCCTCGTCGATTCTTTCTTCTTTTTCTAGCAACATATCTCAAAGATGGAGGCAAAGAGAGACAAATCGGAGAAACACAACAGGTAAAGGGTGTTTGGTTGTTGTTGTTCGACCGGAAGGAAGAGAGACGAGAAAGAGAAGGGTCGCCGCCCTTTTCTTGTTGCTGGAGGATCACCCACCTCTGGTGACTAAGCTAATAACTGCTATTTAGTGCCACTTGTGTTTCCACATCAGCAAAACTTGTAGAATCCGGTGAAAATGACATAATGTGTACATATTAATAAAGTATAAGGGTTTATTTTACAAAAAAGAATAAGGACTAAATGTGTACATTTCAAAAAGTATCTTACCCTATCAATTCATTTTCCCTAAAAGAAAATTCATATATGACCGGTATACCGGGTATAACCGGTCACAAGGACTGCATTGTTACAAAAAATAAAGTATAAGAGTTTATTTTACAAGAAAAAAAGAATAAAGACTAAATGTGTACATTTCAAAAAGTATATTACCCTATCAAGTCATTATCCCTTAGACATGCAATGGGGTGGTGTGACACCATAAAGTTCATGGCTTTATGCAGATAATTTTAAATTGTATGGCTCGGGAATATAGATGGACGTGACGAAACAAATTTCGGTCAAAATGTGTATTTTTTTAAGTGGGTCAGAATATTTGTAAATATTCGATGTTTTAAATATGATGGAGATAAAAACAATCATAAGTTTAGTATTTGTAAGAACACCACTTTAAAGTTAATTATATGCACTAATCAAATCTAGCTTAATAAATAAGAACGGTTTTGCTACATGTCTTCTTCTCCTTCGTTTTGATACTTGTTATTTCTTAGATTTATTTGAATAATTTAATATCCACTTTTCATTTTTATAGTATTTTTTTCTTTTTTATTCAAATTACACCTATTAAATGCCACTTTATATTAATTAATTTTGTAAATATATTAATTAATGTACATAATAACTTTCTATTTATGAATTATTCTTTCTATTAATATATTAATTAATGTATATGTATATTAATGTAGATAGCATATTCCATTTGTGAATTCATATTAATTAATTTTATTAGTATAGATTAATTAAAATCAAATTATATATATATATATATATATTTGAAACGGAAAATCTAATTTACTCCTAAACTACTCATTAAATCAACATATGTCGACAACGAAACTTGAACCCTCAACCTCAATGAGGGAGGACAACACCGTATACCGCTGGACTAGAAACTCTTTGTTACCAAATTACATAAATAGTCCATATGGTCTATCAAATGTCACAAATTCAGTCGTTACTTATTTTTTTATTATCATGGTCTTTGTGGTTATCAAAACTTACATGAATTAGTCTTTTTTTGTTCATATCATTACTTTTGATCCGTTTAATAAATCTGTGTAATACACGGGTCTCACACCTAGTGTATAATATAGATAAGTGAGAGAACGACATTTATCTTTTACCTTTTATTTTTCATGTAAGCCAAGTTATTTTTCTTTCATTTCTTAAAATCCATGAATTGGTAACATTTTTTTTTCAGTTTTTAAAACACATACACACACACACACACACACACACACACATATATATATATATATATATATATATATATATATATATATTTAGGTTATTTTGTTTTTACTAACTATTGTGTGCCAGAATGCACAAATCTGGACCAACGGATGGAATTCATCAATGGACATGATTTGAAAGTGTATGATATTACAATGGGATAGCATGTACCATATAATCACACAAATTTTAGCAAAAGGGTATTTGGATAATTAACTACGATTATAAAAGGAAATTTTTGGATATTTATGGATAATTAATTCTCTTAATTTTAAAAATATGATTTTTTTAATTAATTCAATTTTAATTCTAACATAATTTGTAAACATAACCGATTTATTCTGTCATAATATTTTTTTAGTTAGAATGATGCTCTTTCATAGTTTTATTCTATTAGAATATTATTGAATAATAACGAAGTTCTGAAATCTGATGTTGAAAAATAACTACATTATAATATATTCTGTCAGAATAACATAATATTAATCATAAACTACTAAATACATTTTGAAAAAGAATGCACAAAATAGATTCTTGAACTAATAATATACCAAACAATTAATTATGATTCTTTGAATAATAACAACATTCTGAAAGAATAACAAATATAATTTTTAAAAAAGACAAAACTGCAAAATTGGTACCTGTGGTTAGACAAAAATTGTGGATACGGTCCAAAAACTTTCCAACTTGCACCATTAGTCCAAAACAAGATCTTTTTTGTGGATTTGGTCCTTGATAAACTTGAAAAGACTATTATACCCTTCTAATTTTTTTTATATTTATTAATCTTTATTATAATATTCATAAAATTAAAAATAGATATTAGCCCCACAAAACCCACACCCTCTCTTTAACAATCGACCCCTTCATATTCTCCATCTCTTATCTTACATTTCCCGCCGGTAAACCAACCAGCAACACCGTCGTCCTTCTTTCCGATAAGTACTTGACCCTTCCACTCTATTGATCTCCACCTTCTTCGATTATTTCCTTCTACAGTTCTTCAAGTTACTTTCCATATTGTCATGAATTCTCTTTTTTTCATTCGTTTCCTTCTTTCCAGAAGCATACCTGAGAAAATTTCACTTGATTTTGTGCGTCTTTGATTCTGTACAGGTTCGTTGGTTCACTTGTGTTCTTCAATTGATTTACAAGTTTGCTGATTCACTTTTGTTCTTCGCTAACCTTCTCCAACGCGATCATGAAAGGGTCAAAATCGTCTTTCCATTTGCAATGATAAGGAAATGGGTTTCTGGTGTGTAACCTCACGACCATGGACGAGGTGGGCACTGAGCGCTAGAGGTAGGGAGGGAGTTTCCCTGGTGGAGCGGGCTTAATCTAGTGCCATAGAATCGAAGAATAAAACACAAACACGGTCACACTAAATTAAAAAAACCTAGATATTGAAATGTTGCTTCAGCTCTAACAGGTTTACTTTGTTCTTGCTCCATTTTTTTACAACAAAAAGCGATATTGAGATGAAAGAACATTACAGGAGGTCTTGATGATGATAACTTGGGATAAAGGAAAGAGGGATGAGAACTGGGTGAAGGGTAATTCTGGTTTATCAGAGTTTGTATCATTGTATGTGTGTATTTGTTGAGAGAGAGAGAGAGAGAGAGAGAGAGAAAGAGAGAGAGAAAGAGATATGTGTGCTTGTATGTGTGATGAATCTGCATCAGATTTTCCCAGAACTTCATTGATAAAGTTCATTCGTGTATGTATGTGAATTAAATCAGTAAGGGAGGTGGGTGTTATAGGTGTATGCGGTTGCAAATATTTTCCTTTTGTTTTTATTTTTCAATTACTAAATTATTAAAATACATAAAAAATGGAAAAACAAATTAAAAGGGCAAAATGGTCATTCTAAGTAATTTTAAACTTTTTAGGGACTAAAACCACAAAAAGTTTCAGTTTTTAGACTAACGGTGCAAGTTGAAAAGTTTTTGGACTCCATCCACATTTTTTTACAAACCACAGGGACCAATTTTGCAGTTTAGTCCTTAAAAAATAATAACATTCTTAAACATTGAGTTTGATCATTTTTTAAACCTTTCCCATCAGTTCTTCAAGCCATTTCTATCACAAATTCTGTTAGAATGCAACAACAAAATTTTGTTAGAATACATTATCAACATATAAAATATTAAAATTTTATCAAAATAAAACAACAAAAATTCTAGTAGAATTTATTATCAACATATAAATAATTAACCAAAACCATAATCGAAAGACATGAATAAAAAAAATACCTAGATTTCACCGGAGAAGAAGAATCAACGACCACCACCACATCCTCTTCCCCTCCTTACCTGCTTCGATCGGAGCAACAGCCCCGCCCCACTGCTTCTCCTTTTGTTCTTCAGTCTAGTCACTCATCGGAGATCGATACCTCCTCCCATCACTTTCTTTCTCTTCTGTTCTCATTGATCAAGGCCTATGAAGATTCGACTTCATCGTTGATTTCTTTGCCCCATCGGAACCCCTCCTGCCCTCTGATCGAACCTCTAGCACATCTCCCCTTCTACGGTATCCCAAAGCCTCTGAAACCCCGCTGAATAGCAGGGACCAATGCTGGGAAAACGAGAGGGAGGATAAATCAATGTAGACGTGATCGGCTAGGGTTTTTTTCAACAGATTTTGACTACATCCCATATTTAAATATGAGAAATGGTGATGTTGGGAAGTTTGTCTTGTTTCGTGATGATACCTTCGACCGTCGCTCCGTTTGTCCACCCAATTAGGTCGGTCCTATTTGTAAAATAATGTAGCGAAATGATCTTTTTCAACAAAAGAAAAAAAAATCAAAAGTTGAGATAACGAGTTATGCCTACTCATGATAGAAGAGTTTTTTCATGACTTTCTTTATGACAACCTTAACCTTCTTTTTAACTAAAAAAAATTTAAAAAAAAAAAAAGAAAGAAAGAAAAACTCTTTTTGAGATTTTGTAACTTCAGAGACAAATGTTATAAAAACAATAATCCTCGAGAGAGCCAAACTTGTTTTTAAAAAGTATTTAACCAAAAAAACTTACATTGTGAATAGGCAATGCAGAAAAGAATGGTGCTATATTGTCCTTCCTGTTTTTTTCCTAGACATCACAAAAATAGTTCTTTGTTTTCCAGCGAAGTTATAGAAATAGTCTCTATGTAATACAAAAATCGAAAAAACAATCCATATGTAAAACAAAAATTACAATCATTGACTTTGTGTAATAACGAAATCATAAAATAATCGGTATTTAACAAAACATTATAAAAACTTTGTCGAAAACATATAATTAATAAATTTGTTGCAAACCAAATCACTTCTAGCTCAATGGTATTATGTGCTTTCATTCCTTTTTAAAATTGAGGGTTTAAATTTCGTATGAAACATAAATAGATTTAAAAGTAGTTTATGATTATATTATATTTACTGTGAAAAAAAAAAAAAAAAAAAAAAAAAACTTGCCACAAACATCCTACTTGTTTACTTCATAATTAACAATATAGAGAGACTTCATTTATAGAACATATTAATCAAAGTTAGACAAAGTTGCAAAAATGGTTTCTATGATTGGTAAAATTATGTGATTTTGGTCCAAAAAAGTTTGATGGTGGATAACTGGTCTAATTTTGCATATTGTTAGTGTTTTTAGTCTCAATACATTTAAAATGATTATTATACCATTTAGATTTGTATTTTTATTTTTTATATTTATATTGATGTATTTATATAATTAAATATACTAAAAGTCTCTCTCTCTCTCTCTCTCTCTCTCTCTCTCTCTCTCACACACACACACCCACCAGATGCCACTTTCCCAAGAACACCCAACATATCCCACCATCATCGTTTACCATCATGATTTGCCTGCTATCGTCGTTGTTCTCCACCATCCTTTCAAGAACACGCACACACACAAACACACACAAACATACACAATCTCTCTTTCTCTTTTCTTCTGCCACTTTGTCATTCCCTACAACTATTCACTGCTAACCACCTCCATTTCCCCCGCCCCACCTCTCCCTCCTTAATCTGATAATCGTTCACCACTGACCACCAAACCACTTTTCATCGGATTTTTTTCTAGAAAACCATACTAGATGCCTCTCCCTCCCAGATCTCATTGGAAAAATCAAATCAAAAGTTTCGTCGAGCTGCACCATCTTCTCACCATCCACAAAAACCTGAAACGACGGAAAATCAACAGATTTAAAGAAGATGTCTTCGATTTGAAGGGTTCAACACGTCTCTCTTCTTCCTCAGGTATGCATCTGTAGATCGACATGTTTAAAGAATAGATCTGGTATGTTAGTCTCGTTTGCAGATCCGGAAACAAACTGTTGGCATTACGATGATGCTTCCAAATATGACGAATGGGCGGTGGGAGGTGGGTCACATCTCTGGAGTTTTCATCTGGTTCGCAGGCCATCATCCTTAGAGTTTACTAGGGGGAGGTGTTGCACAAGTAGGGGCAACGATGGTGGTGTAGGTGGTGGTTTCTGAGCATTGGTAGAAGAAAAGGAGATGATAGACTATTATGTTGAGAGAGAGAGAGAGTATGGTGGGGTGTAGGGGTGGTGATTTCTTTTTCTTTGTCTTTAAATTGAAATAATAATAAATAAAATAATAAAACTTAAAAAAGAATATGTAAGGGTATATTTGTCATTTTAGGTGAGGTATAGATCAAAACCACACAAAAATACCAACAATAAGGACCAAAACCACAAAAAGTATCCAAAATTGAACCACTGATGCACCAACAAAAATTTTTGAACCAAAACCACAAAATTTTGCCAACCACATTGACCATTTTTGCAATTTTGTCACAAAGTTATATTTACTCATAGGAATATAAAGAGAAATTAAATTGCTTCCTATTTGTTATGCCTGCAAATGTTCATACCCAATAAGATTATGACAAGTGTTATCATTTCATATTTTTTTAACTAACTCATTAAAGCTATATTAAGAATATATTAAATAAAATTAAATTGAATGGTGATTTGTTATAATTTAAATGGATAGGAATAATAGTAAGCATAAAAGATAGGAGGTAATTTAATTTCTCGAAGTTAAATAATCTACCTATATATGAAATGAGCCAACTAAAGTGTATTACAATATTTACATTCTTACAACCTTGATAATTGTTTTATTTCAAAGGTTAATGTCATATAATAGTAACTTACTTTTTTTCCTTTGTCCCCTTTTGGTCACCAGACTTTTTATTCTATATGTATCAAATCGTTGTAATTCGAGAAAAAGGTAACTCAAGAACTTCTTTGACCAAATTAACTATGAACTCATAATCACAATAAAAGAAACAGTCTAACAGTAATTGTTACAACATGATTAATGCCAATAAGTCGTAGCAAAATAAGAATAAAAAACCTAACAGCGAACCAGTGCTAATAAAGTACAGCCCTCCACCGTTTCCACTGTGAACAGCTTAATAATAATAATTCTTGTGCCCCAATTATCTTTCTAGTCATAACTATCTATTTATTTAATAATGTGCAACTGATGTCTCGAAATTGAAGTACACAATTTGTTTGTATGGATTGACCTAACAACTTGAACTTGTAAATGAAAAAACATATCAAAGATAGAAAATGAAGTTGTAGTAGTTGTGCAACTGCAGATGCAGATGGAGATGGAGGAAATAACTGTGAATTGGTGATTTATAGATGCTTCTCATCTATCTTGTTATAATCTGCCACTGGTATTACTGAAATTCGGCGGGTTAATTGTGAATCACATGAGGTAATTTATGGAATGAAAGAAATCAAAAATGGTGGTTGAAATTACGGTGGATCTTTGTTCCCACATCGGAAAGTGGACAATGTGATGAGGTAATTGGGAAGGATAAAAGGGTATCGAGGGGGAGGTGAGGGTTTAACCCGTCCTGTCAGGGTGAGAGGCGACCTATCAATGATCGTCAAGAGACGGTGGGTCGTGCCGATGCCTAAGACAACGAACACAAATTTAAAAGGCGAGCGAATCTGCTCTACTTTAGGTGGGCTTGTCCGTCAATTTTTGGAAGCCTTTTTAAATGGGCTCGATAATAACAAAATACAAGCATTTATTTAGCAATAGGAGAAATGTATTACGTGATTTATGATTATATTATTATTATTATCATTAAGTTGCATTGTTGATGTTGGTTTTTCATAAATATAATTTTTTCAAAGGTGTTGTATTGTTATCTATAAACATATTTATTTTTTTACTCTTATATTTAAATTTAATTTAAGCACACTTGTATGAAGTGTTTTTTATGAAACCTTTCTCTTTGGACCAAAGCCATACATAGCATGAATAATCTAAACAATAAACCCGACGACTATTATGCAAGCAAATATATTACCAGGTGTGTGGAAAAATATCGCGAGCATTTGAAAGTACCTTCAGAAAAAGGATATTCCAATTGAAAGGGTGTTATACAAACAACCATGTCCCACCGGTGATACGAGGAAGTGTAATCCCGGTGATACGAGGAAGTGTAATCTCACTGATGATAGATTTTTTTCAGTGAAAGTTCTTAGAAAAAAAATTGGATTTTAACCCCTACCTATGTATGGGTTTGTTTACATGGCTAAAAGAGATCCCAATTAAAATTAATTGTTTCATTTGGAGGGTTAAAATGGACAAAATACCTTCAACTATGGGCCTTTTATCTAGAGGGGTAGCTTTGGAAAATTCATTATGCAACCACTGTGTAGCCGTGGAATGTGCAGATCACACATTGGTTGGGAGTAGATATGCAAAAACAGTTATACACTGGGTTCTCAAATGGTGTGGAGTTCCACCCGACGAACTCAAAACAGTAAATGAGGTGATCACATATACCCATACATGATCCAATTGCCAAAAAAACGTTGCTCACGGGAATTTGTTACGTCACATTATGAAGCATATGGAAAGTAAGGAATAATAAAATTTTCAATAAAAACCGGCTTCCCGCTTTCAATTGTGTGGACATCATCAAATCCACAACATATGTGTGGATCAAAAATAGGGAAAAAAAAATCAAAAATAGAAATGTTGATTGGTCAGTAAATCCCCATTGCTTTGTCTGTGATCTATAATCTTAATGTTTGTATTTTGTTCTTTCCCTTCCTCTAGTCACTTGTTAGAGGTTGATCTTTTTTAATATATTGTCGGTTTAAAAAAAAAAAAAACTTTATTTTAAATTCCAATGGGTGTGCAAAATGAACGATTTGGAAAACAAGTTAAAATGGGTTCATTCAAAATACTGGATTTTTTTTATAATTTAAAAATGAACAATTTGGATTTATTATATGTATATATATTTTTTAAATGAATGATTTGGATTTTTTCGAATGGGTTAAAAGGGATCGTATATGTATACAAACCTTTTATAAGGTTAAATTTAAAGTGCTTAAAGTTATTTTGTAAATATTCGAAATTTGGGATTTTTGGTTTTCAACACCCATAGTTAAAATGGGTAGAGGTTTAGGTTTTACCCTATTTTTGTTAGTTCTTTAAAACTTTTTTTTTTTGGAAATCGGCAAATATATTAATCAAAGAAACCACATCAAGCTAATGTGGGAAAACGAAAAGTACAAGACAGTCAAAAACAAAAACTACAGACAAAGAGTGGGGCATAAATTCCAAACTCTCCAATCTACATTTTTGCATGGAGTTCTATGCTTGCACCAAGTAAACGTCATCGCTTTTATCTTTTCTGTTATGACCGCCGATGAAGTGTGAGTCTGTTCGTACACCCGTTTATTCCTGGCTAACCATAAGCACCATAATGCTCCATTAAAAATCATATTCAAAAGCCTCTTTTTTCTATTACACCCGGAACACCTTGAGACGAATAGTATCAACTCCCTTACCGACGTAAATCTTCCACAATTGAGTTCACACCAGCATGTTATCGAATTTAAGACGGAAATCACAATTGGGCACGTAATCAAAATGTGGTCTGACGTCTCCTCTTCCAAGTTGCAACCACTACATCTAGTTGATGGGATAGTGATCCCGCGCCTACTAAGTGCCACCGCCGACGGAAGTCTACCTTGTTTTGCTCTCCACATGAAGGAGAGAATCTTGAACGGAGTCCATTTCCCCCAATCGAACGGTCCATCACATACAACAAAGTCGGCTAGTTCAATCCTTTCCCGTATCCGAGACACCATGAATCGTCCGTCAGAAACAAACTCTGATTTCCACTCACCCTCACCCACGTTCCACGATATTATATCTTTGGGATCAATGTTGATCGTTTGCAGAAAAGATCTTGATTTGATTATGTTTTTCCATACCCCCGTACTCGATCTATTCGCGAACACTGACCAATGCCTTCCATCTAACTTATGCAAACATCGAATAGTTTTTGCCCACAGTGATGAATTCTCAGATTTCAAACGCCACATCCATTTTGCTAGCAGTGAAATGTTGATAGATTTAATCGAACCTAGTCCGATCCCCCCAATCGTCCTTGGAGAAACGAGCTTATTCCAAGCCACCCAATTAATACTTTTTTTCTCGTACACCTTGTTCCAAATGAAGTTTCTTCTAATTTTTTCTAGCGTGTCAATCACACCTTTCGGGACTGCAACGATTGACATGTAATATATAGGCAAGTTGCCAAGGACCGCCTTAGCCAGGGTTACTCTACCACCGAAACTTAAAGATTTCGCTTTCCAAGTCGTGAGCTTATTTTGGAACTTTTCGATAACCGGTCTCCATGCTCGCTTCCTGTTCATATTTTCGCCCACCGGAACTCCCAGATAAGTGAAGGGAATGGATGAAGGTTCACACCCAAGAGGAGCCGCCCAGTTTGAAACTTCTAAATTAGGTACCCCCACCCCATAGACTTTTGACTTTGTGAAGTTCACTTTTAGTCCGGACGACACGTGGAAGCATCGTAATATTCTTGATAAATTCGCAATGTTTCTCCTTGACCATTCGCCTATGAATAGCGCGTCATCTGCATAGAATAAATGAGACAAGCAAATGTTAGGTTGTGAGAATTTAATTCCTTCAAATATTCCTTTCTCCACTGCTGATATCATGGCTTGATTGAGTCCCTCCATCGCGATTAAAAACAGAAAGGGAGAGAGTGGGTCACCCTGTCTGACCCCTTTTGTCATTGGAAATTCTTTAGTTGGGCTACCATTGATTATTACAGACGCCCTCCCAGAACTCAGACAGCCGTTCAACCATAATCTCCATTTCAATCCAAATCCCATTTGTTCCATGATAGAGTCCAGGAACGCCCAATTTATCGAATCAAACGCTTTATTAAAATCAGCTTTAAAGAGTAGTATCTTTTTGCCTTTAGCCTTTGCCCACGAGCAAAGCTCGTTAACTATCATTGGTCCTTCCAGTATATTCCTTCCTTCCACATACGCTGATTGTACCTCTCCAATGATGTTACCAATCACGTTTTTTAATCTAATCGCCAACAACTTCGCAATGATTTTATATATCGATCCAATCAGGCTTATTGGTCTGAAATCTCCGAAGTGCGTTGGATCCTTAGATTTCGCCACTAGAGATATGAAAGAGGAGTTACATCCACACGATAGCTTTCCGTGAACTTCAAAATACTTTACCATCCCCACCAATTCCTCTCTCAACAGCTCCCAAAACTTTTTTATAAATTTAAACGTGAATCCATCCGGTCCCGGAGATTTTTCATCCCCACATGCCCAAACTGCTCTTTTTATTTCCTCTGTTGTAATTCCAGCTTCCAAGAATCTAGCATCAATTCCAGAAAGTCTTTTAAAACCTGGATTGCAAAATTTTGGTCTAATAGGCCATCTTTCTTTAAATTTATTCCCAAAGAACTTTTCTGCCTCCTTTTTTATATTCACCGGGTTAGTACTCCAAGCGCCATTTATCATGATCCCATGTATATGGTTTTTACGATTTCTGTTGTTCACGTAGGTATGGAAGAAGCGAGTATTCTCATCACCATCAATTTCCCATTTTAATTTTGCCCTTTGCTTTAGGTTCATGGCCAACCTTCTAGCGTGATCTTCCACCTTAACTCCTAAAATTGATCTTTCTTTCATCTCATTAATAGTCATAGGCCTAGATTCAGCCCCATCTCGATTTCAGCTATTCTCTTTTTCCATTCATCTACTTCCTTCTTCTCCTTATCAATTGCGTTTATTTTCCAGTTTCTAATCGCAAGTTTGAGATGCTTCAATTTATTCAAGAGAATCATGTCAGGTGTACCATAACCCCTGAACTCTGAGCACGCTTCCTTAATAACTTCATCCAGATTGTCGTTAAGTAACCATGAGTTTAAGAACTTGAACGGAGGCGGACCGAAATCCACGTTACTAGCTCTCAATATAATAGGGGAGTGGTCTGAAAGGTCTCTGTTCATTGCAAAGGAGGAAGCAAGAGGATACACGGAAAGGAAATTGGAACATACCAGAAAACGATCTAACTTACTTAGTTTCCCACCAAGAGTTCTGAAGTATGTAAATTTTTGGCCTCCCATCTTCAAGTCCGTCAGTTCACCGTTGAGGATGAATTTGTTGAACTCATTTGCACTCCGAGCACAGAATTCAGAATTAATCCTTTCGTCTTGGCGCCTTACCACATTGAAATCCCCCATGAAGATCCAGGTTGCCGATCTCGATAGTTTTATTGCCAACAGTTCGCCCCACACTTTAGCTTTCTCACGTTCCTGTTGAGGGCCATAGACATTTACGACCCCCGTTAGCCCATCTATTCCCACAAAGTTCCCCATTGTTACGATATAATTCCTTGATTTAATCACTTCTACTAACGAGAACATTCTACTATCCCCTATTGTTATTATTCCTCCCGATCTTCCCGTAGAGAATACTTGCTCGAAGTTACAGTCTGCGTCACCCCAACAGTTAGATGGATTGAAAAGCGGAGACTCTTCCCCCAATTTTGTTTCCTGAATCCCGACCAAACATAGTTTATTTTCTCTCCTTAGTCTTCCTACCCAATCTGTTTTATGTTTCTCTCCCAGACCTCTGATGTTTAGTGACATGATGTTCATTATATTAGCTGGTTTTCTCCTTCTTCACCAATTACATCTTTGAGGACTTCGTTATCACATTCCAAATCGAATCCCAGCATTTTACCTACCTCCACCGTGTTCCTGATTTCTGACGATGAAGTCGAGAGTGACTCGTCGTCCGATTCCGGGAGCGGGATATGGGAAGGGATCGGTTCTAAATTTAAGTCGATGGGGGATTGATCTGAAGACACCATTTGATTTTGATTTTCCATGGGCGACTCAAAAATCGGCGTCAATAATCGTCTTCTTTTATCAGAGGATCCTTTAAAATTATTGTTGGTTCGACCCGGAATTGGTTCACTTCGAACCATATTGTTATGAAAAGGGCCAAAGCAGCCTGTTAAAGGTAACGCGTTTAGGAGCCCATTTGACAAGTCCATATGGCCCAAATTGGTAGACTCCAGGTTTTTAGACGGCGCAATATTTCCTGCATTCCCATTTGACTTTCCAATAACCGACGGTTCATTAACGTTTGCATTAATTTGCGCCCTTTGGGATTCCCAACGCAATTCGGTTTCACTTCCTCCGTCAGTCCCTGCCGGTACCATGATCGCCGGAGGCGGCCCCATCTCCGAGTTGTTATGCTTACCGACCACATGCAAGTGAGAGTTTATTTCCGTTCCATCCTCTTCTCTAATCTCACCCTCTTCAGACTCTTCCTTTTCATACTGCATTGGAGGGGTATCCGATACATGATCTTCATCGTCCGATCCGACCAAGTCATCCACTTCGTCTTCATCTTCGTCTGACGAGGAAGTATCCTCCAATGAGCGATCAAGCTGCTTAAATGGAGTCCAGTCAAGATCGACTTCGTCAACTCGGATTTTAATTGTCTTTCCGTTAATCTCTACTGTCGGCTCACTTGAGATGGATGATAACGAGCTTGTGATGACACCGACTTTCCCATAGACTAAATTCGCACTGGATGTATCAACTTCGAATGGAACAATCACCCTGCCCATCAGTCCGGCGATTTTCGAGAAGTTCTCTTCTGACCATAGTTTTGGTGGGAGGCCAATGATTTTTAGCCATGCTATCCTTTCGAAGTTATAAGTCGCGATATCGCCGCTCTCCATCGACCGAAACCATTCCGACCACCTATCCAGGAACGAATCTCTGCTCTTGTCATCTATGAATTTGACGCCCATTCGTAGCCCTCCCAAGTATTTTAGTTCACATTCTGACCCATCACAGTTCTTGAATGCAAGTGGCGCCTTTTCGAGATGGTCGAAGCTGTGTATTTCACCAATCAAAGTTAACTTACTACTCAACCATCCCTTAAGCGGTGAATCATCTGAGATTTTAATTGGAGATAAAAGTTCCGCTTGGGTTTGGTAGGCTGTAGTTCTCCCAAGTTTGTTACTACCTCGTACCACCTCAGCGAAGGATCTGTTATCTCTACCTCTCCATCGATGTTCCTGTGGTCTTTTGTATTGGTTCTGATTCCACGTAAACTTGTCCCCTTTTGAATCGATCGATTTTCTTGCAAACCTTGCTATGTTGATCTCCAGCGATTTTCCTTTAAAAGTTAAGCCTTGAAGGGACTCCTCAAGTCTCCGTTCATCTCCCGTCGCTTTAAATCGCACAAAAGCAAAAGACTTTTTGTTTACGTCTTTCTTCGCAGCCACATACACGTCCACCACTACCCCGTATTTGGTGAAGAAACTTTTTAAGGGTTCAATCCTGGTCTCCTGAGGAATATTAGATACAAACAGCGTCGTTACCCCTGCATGATTCCAACTTTTTTGATTTCCTATCGCCGCTGTCTTCCTTCGTCTTCTATTCGTAGCCTCTTGCCAACCTCCGTCAGTCATTCTATTCGTGGCACTCATCTATAGTTCTTTAAAACTATGTGGTGTATAATAAGACGTAAATCAACCCTTTTGTAAGCATTAAATTTGGAAATGGTAGATTTCTAACTGATTTTTTTAGTAATATGATTAAAGAAATGTTGATTTTGGTGTATGAAATTATCTAAAATAATCAAAACTAGTCAACCAAAAAGCAAAATTTAAAAGATTGTTTATACTTTATATGGATTTTTCATGTGCAAAACAGTAAATTAAAAAAAAAAAAAAAAAAACCCTTTAATATCTTTAGCCTTTAAAATAAAAAATGAATTTTACACAATATTTTTTTTACATGCAACATCGTAACCTCATAAGACTGTCTGAAGTGGAGAAGTCTCCACGTGTGAGATGCTTACGTGGAGGGTCTCTCCACACGTGACCACCACCCCCATTAATGGTGGGTTGGTTGTGGTGTGAAGACGAGGACGGAAGAAGACGAAGAAAGTGATTGATTGGTCAAATTTTGACTGTTTAAAAGCATTTAATAAAAAATATATATGTTTTTTATTTTTAATTTACTCTTTCTATATATACATCCATTTTGCATATATATTTTCAAAACAAAACACACAAACTCTTTCAAATCAAACACACACATTCAACAAAAATGGATGACAATTATGATGATGAGTTGGTATTGCACACACTATTGTCTACGGTACAAGACATGGTTCGTGAGAGAGACGAAAGTTCACATGGTGAGAAAAAGCATAGAAAATGGATCAACTGGGATCGAGAGGCAGCAAATGAATTTTTGGTACGTGATTATTTTGACCCTGATAGTTTATATGATCTATCAAAATTTGAAGAACGTTTTCGTATTAGTAGAAATTTATTTTACATATAGCTAGAGATTTCGAATGTAATTATGAGCTTTATTAATTACAATGGGATGCTAGATGTAAAAGTTGTTTGACTACAATACAAAAATGTACGACCGCTCTTAGACAATTGGGATATGGCATAACTGTAGACTCATCAGATGAGTATTTGAAAATGTCTGAGAGGATGAGTTGAGAATATACATATCTTTTTCATGAGTATGTTATAGAGCTTTACCGTGACATATTGCGACATCCGACTAAAAGTGATGTCGAAGAGTTGTATGCCACACATCAAGATAAACATGGTTTTCCAGGGATGTTTAGTAGTATTGATTGTACACAATGGGAGTGGACAATTTTTCTCAATGCGTAGCGTGATCAATTTATGCGAGGTGATTATGGGGTCCCGACTATTATATTAGAGGCGTTTGTTTCACATGACTTATGGTGTTGACATGCATTCTTTGGTATGGCGGGGTCCAACAATGACCTGAATGTGCTTCAAGTGTCTCCGTTATTTAACAATATTTTACAGGGTAAAACACCAAACATATCATACGTTGTGAATGGAAATGAATATAAGTATAGGTATTACCTAGGTGATGGGATATATACAAAGTATGCTACAATTGTCAAGTCATATTCATTTCCAGCAGACGAAAAACAAAAATTGTTCAAGTTAGCACATGAATCTGCACGGAAAGATGTGGAATGAACATTTGGAGTCCTAAAACAAAAGCGGCACATAATCAAACATCCGACACTAACATGGGATAGGGAAAAACTAACGACGATGTTGACTGCTTGTATTATTTTACATAACATGATAATAGAAGAAGATAGCATGACTATTTGTTCATATACCAGAAACAATATATTTAATCCACTTGCAGTATACAAGTTGGTAGACTGCCATACTTATCTAGGGTTTTGGAAATATAAAACCGTGAAACACATCACAATCTACGTCACGATTTGACCAAACACTTATGGGAAAGACAATTCCAATAGGGAAATAACGATAAGGATGAGGACGATGATGACGAGGCGGATGCGCACGGCAACGATGAGGCGGATGAGGACGGTGACGACGACGAGTAGTATTTGTCTATGGTTTTTATGTTTAAAATTTTTATATTTTTTAAGTAGTGTAATGTTTTATTTGTTATGTTTTATGTTTATTTTAGTAATTTAGGTTTTAAATGTCTATATTTTTAATTAATGAAATGTGGTTTTATTTTTTTGTGTTTTCAAAAACTTTATTTATGTTATAAATTATGTTTTTTTTATTTAATATAATGTAACAAAAAAAATAAAAAAAATAAAAAAATTTATTTATGTTATAAATTATGTTATTTATTTAATATAATGTTACAAAAAAATTAAAAAATATATATAAAAAAAAATTAAAAAATAAATATTGTTAGTGGTAACCATTTTTAATGACTAATGGGTTGGTGGTGAAGCTGACGTTGCGTAGAAATGACAACACCTTTTCGATAGACTGAGTGTAACCACTCCCAACATCCAAAGAACAATTAAAAAAAAGTAACCATGACTTGCATAAATCATGACCCTTCAAATTAGTCACAAAATGATTGTTATAAAAACAAGTAATATCAAATGTCACAAAAGAGTCCATCTCCTTCCGAATTGTCACAATACTATTTTAATGGCACATACTATTATGATCCACCAAAATCAACTTTCTCAATATAATAACAACTAAAATAACTATTTCTTATATAATTATGAAAATTTTCCAATAAATATAAAGTCATCACCATATTTTCATCGAACATATTTGTTAATGTATCTCACATCGATCGGTGTTCTGCATCCCCTATGGCGTAGGGAACCAAGATCTGTACCCCCTCCCAGGTAGGAATTGTAGCATAACCATAGACACAAACTTGTAAGCCTTCCATGCAATGAAGCTTATAAACTTTTTTAAGTTTGGTCTCTCTACCAATGTGGGATTCATTCCCACATTCCTCTCTTTTGCTAAACTTATTCTCAAATACCCATCTTTGAGTATCGATATTTCATTCAGTTATACTCTATTTTGAACATATAATATATCGTTTCGAAGTCCTCATGGAGGAGAATATAAACCTACTTAGAATTCGTTATATATACAGCATATGTATATATTTATATATGTCCAAAGTTAGTAAAAATTATAAATATTTATACTAAATTTCCAACAAAATGTGTACAAGCAAAAAAAATTAAGGACTAAATGTGAAATATATTAACCTATTAAGTTATTTTTTCCGGTTAACTTAGAGTAGTCGGTCATAATGAGTAAATGTGTACAGTTTAACAAGTTGAAACGGTAAATGTGGACAGAAAAAAAACTCAGAGACCAAATGTGTACAAATCAAAAAATATATTACTCTTTTAAGTTATTATCCATTTTTCAAACTACAAACCGATCGAATTGTAAATTAATGATACGTTTGACAAAAATAATTTATATATACAATTGCACTGAAAGAGCTATTACTTTAGCCGTGTAAAATTGTTAAACAAAAATAATTCTAAGCTTTTGAAAAAGAAAACTAAATAAAATTACATAAAACATAAAACTTTCAAAATCTGCTAAAAATTGAATTTGGATTATGATTATTTTTGTTTTAAGATGAAATTATTTCACACGTACCATAAAACAAAACTTTTTCTTATTCGAGCCTCGAATTATACTTTTCTTAACCCTCACCTCACAACCTGCTTCGGCTTGGCGATTTATTAGGGTTTAACAAAACACAATCACTCTTACTTTACACTAGTTGTAACAATCATATAAATTTATAATTCCTTATCGTTTCAATTATTTTAATCAGCTTTCTTATTTTTAAATATATTATTACTATTAAACCAATACACGTGAACAAAAATAAGAGAGTGGGTCAAACGGCCGAACCACTCTAAACAAACCACAGTGGACCGGTCACCGATAACTTAACTAAACCAAACCAATTACCATTTTTATATTAAACATTAAAAATTTAACTATAAATATAGAATTAGAAGAAGACAGGTTTGGAATCTTCTAATTTCTTACATGTATTGTATTTTAATATGGAGTTAATAACTTTTAATTCAAATTGTTTGATGTAAAGTTGCAAAATACCTACCTTATGTTCTATTTTAATTTTTACCATTAAAAATTAAAATGTTAGTTTAGAGAGAATTTCGTCCCGAATTTTTTTTGAAAGATAGGATCATGAACCAGAGAATAAGTGAGGGTACTTCTGCTTCATCTGGTCCTCGCGTTCTCATGTGAATTTTGGTCCACGCTTAGCATTCCATTGAACCTTCACAATTGGAATACGACTCTGCTTCGTATGCTTCACTTCCTTGTCTATTATCTCGACCGGTTCTTTGACAAACAGAAGATTGTTGTTTATTTTGATCTCTTCCAGATGAGTGATAATAGTTTCATCTGTTAAGCATTTTTTCAAATTCGAGACGTAGAACACGGGGTGTACGTTGCTAAGCTCCGCAGATAGCTGCAGTTTGTATGCTACTGGACCAATTCGGGCAAGAATCTCGAATGGACCGATGTATTGCAGATTTAGTTTTCCCCGTTTCCCAAAACGAATCATCACTTTCCAGGGAGATATCTTTAATAGTACTCGATCTCCGACTTGGAATTCCAAAGGCTTTCGTCGTTTGTCAGCATAACTCTTTTGTCAGTCTCGCGATGCTTAGAGTCGAGCCTTGATTTGAATTATCTTTTATGTTGTTTCTTGTGACATCCCCAAAATCACGGCCAGAAAAGAGCGATTTTGTTTATGCTTTATAAAAAAATCAGAGTACTTCATTTTATAAAAATGTTGCGGAATTTGTTCCCAGAAAAACATGGTAAATACGTTATTAAAACATTTTCGAAGAAACGTATTTATTTCATTTTAAAACGTTTGGGATGTCATCGTTAATACAAGAACATAAGCATAAACAGAACTTACAATTATTCACACTAGTGGTCTACATCTCTTTAAATCTCTCAGTGTAATGTCACTTCATATCAACACCTGTGATATAAATAAACTGAGTGGGTCAGGTTGGGAAACCTGGTGAGCACATAGGGATTTCAATCCCACAATGTTATACCTATATATAGTTTAAAACTCACAAAATATACAATTTCACCATATATATATATATATATATATATATATATATATATATATATATATATATATATATATATATATATATATATATATATAAACAACTCTTATCCCACCCCGTCGATCCTCGCAACGAGGCTATCCATACTCTCGGACCTAAGATTAGTCGTTTTACCTACTCCATACTCTCGGATCAGAAATGAACGAATTTACCAAATCTATACTCTCGGACTAGGGAAGAATGACTAATCCATACTCTCGGATTAATGATGAATGATTATGCCTAATCCATACTCTCGGACTAGGGACAATGACTAACCCATACTCTCGGATTAATAACGAATGATTATGCCTAATCCATATTCTCGGACTAGGGACAATGACTATGTCTAATCCATACTCCCGGATAAGTGACATATACTAACTTCTATTCTCTGAGTTTAACTCACTTGTACTCGTAAGAATATACTACCCAATATTCCTCATATTTAATTTAGGTCTACTCTTTATCCTAAATTATCAAATATAATCAAGTATGTTCTTTAGCACGAATTTCAAGCAACATCAATTAACTCGCACATAAACATATAATTAATACTTCAATCAATACTTGTATTAAAATCATGTTCATGAAAGGGACTATGCACTCACCTGAGTAGGTGGTGACTCAGCACTCGGACAGCGCTTCGATACTCTCGAAACGATATTCCTTCGATAAAACCTAGTACCAATACCACTAGGGTTTAGTCTAACGATAACCGCGACAAATTAATTGTCTGACTATTATTATTATTATATAAGAGTTAATAACACTCAATATAACTCATAATAATAGCCCAAATAATTATTTTAAGGACCTAATAACATTCCTATATTAAAACATAAGCTAAACTAAAGATAGGTTAGGCGTAGCTCACTTACAGCGGGTTTTCTTGAAAACCGGGCTTCGCTGGAGCAGCGTTCTCGAGCCGAAAGACCCTTTTCTCGGAGCCGTCGAGTGCTCCAGGGCTTCCGCCTCGTGCTAGGGAGTTACCCTAGGCTTTAGGGGGTTAGGGAGGCTTAGAGAGAGAGTTTAGAGAGAGAAAGAAGGTTTGGAAGGTGTGAGAATAAATGGAACCCGACACCTCTATTTATAGGGGAGGAATCTGATGGACTCGTCAAGTCTGAGTCATGACTCGTCGATTTGCTCCATGTGGCGGCCTTCTGGTGGTGCCACGTGTCCAATTCTGGTGGTGCCACGTCACCCTTTATCGCGTGTCAGCCTTCAAACTTAGAAAAATCATAACTTTCGCATACGAGCTCCGTTTTCGACGTTCTTTATATCCACGCGTAGGTAAAATCAAGATCTACAACTTTCGTTTAGACTCTGTCAGCTAAATCTCGACCGATCTCAAATTTAACAGTAGGAGGCGTTTAGACTGTTAAATGACCGCGAAGAGTTCATAACTCCTTCATCCGGACTCCGTTTTCGTTTGTCTTTTTACCGTTGAGTTCCTATTAATGAGACCTTCAACTCTCATTTAGGTCGCGTAAGCCAAAAACCGCTCGAACTAAAATTCGAGTTTCGGGTCGTGCACTGCTAAGCCGAATCTTAGAAAAATCATAACTTCTTCATACGAAGTCAGATTTGGGCGTTCTTTTTATCGATGTTCTTAGTTTAACATATTCTACGACTTTTGTTTAGATTGTTAAGGCTAAAAATTCTTCTATCGTAAATTCACTATTTACGTCTCCCGGTGCCGTGCCGGTTTTGCCGTAAAACTTCGGCGGGCCATAACTTCTTCGTTATAGCTCGGATTTCAGCATTCTTTATATGTACAGAAACCTTGAGACATATTCCACAACTTGGTTAAGATTATTTATTCTAAATAATCTTTTGTCGAAAAGTCGTTTTCGACCCCTATTGCCTCTAAATTGACTAGCCCGGATCTACGGGCTTTACATTTCTCAAATGATTTCTGGCCTGTAAGAGTGTTGTTGGGCGATTACCCTTTTTCTAGCTGGGTGTCACCCACCTCAGCCCAGCAGAGAGGCGATCTGTACTTGCGACCATACAAAGCCTCAAAAGGAGCAACCGTTATGCTCGTGTGATAGTTGTTGTTGTACGAGAACTCAATTAAAAGCAAGTGGGTATCCCAAGATTTTCCAAAATCGATCACACAGGCTCGGAGCATGTCTTCGAGTCTTTGAATGGTTCTCTCACTCTGGCCATCGGTTTGCGGGTGGTAGGTAGTGCTCATGTCTAGTTATGTTCCCATTGCCTTCTGGAGCGATTGCCAAAACCTTGAAGTAAATTTACTATCCCGATCTGAGATAATAGATACTGACACTCCTTGAAGTCTCACGATCTCTTTTATATAGATTCGTGTTAATCTTACCATCTCGTACGATTCTTTTATTGACAGGAAATGGCAGATTTGGTTAATCTATCGACAATCACCCAGATAGCATCGAATCCGTATGTTGTCTTAGGTAATTTGGTTATGAAGTCCATAGTAATCATTTCCTATTTCCACTCAGGTATTACTTAAGGCTAACAAATCATCCCATAATTTTGATTTCTCGTGTACCAATTGAGGACCATAGATATTTACAATTCCAGTAAGATCGGTAATGCCAACAAAGTTACCCAGTGTTGCAATGAAATGCCTGGATTTAATAGTCCCGACCAAAGAAAACGCTTTGATATCCCATATTGTTACCAGGCCACTAGATCTTCCCGTAGTGAAAACCTGCTCAAATCTACAATCAGAATCACCCCAACAACCTATAGTATTTAAGGGCGCGGAAGATTCTCCCAATTTAGATTCTTGGATGCCAATCATACATAACTTATGCTCACTCTGCAGCCTGTGAACCCAGTCGACCTTGTGTTTCTCTCCTAGCCCTCTTATGTTTAGAGTCATAATATTCATTGAATGATCTGGTTTTCGCCATTTTCACCAAGGGCTTCCTTAAGAACCGAATTATTAACATCAACCTCAAATCCCAAGATATTGCTCACCACCACAGTGTTTCTAACTTCCGAAGAGGATGTAGGACATGGAGAATCAACCATAGTGTCTGGGAGAGGAACGTGGGTAGGACTTAGGCACAGTGTCTGGGAGAGGAACGTGGGTAGGACTTAGGCATTTATTTAGATCTAAGGAGGCATGAGGCACAGAAGGGTCAGAAGAAGCGATAGGAGTATCATTGACATTTATAAATATTCTTCTCTTTTTATCTTGGGCACTATCAAAGTTAACATCTTGCCCACCCGTTTGGATCACGTTCAAACCCATATTATTTGGAAAGGGCCCAAAGCACCCAGTTTTAGCAAGGTTATTTAGATTCTTTAGAATCCCACTAGGTGACCCACCAAGACCCCCATTACTATTCGCCACCATATCTGTGTCGTCTCTATCTGATATATTTTCCAATCCATCTTTATGAACCACCACATTAATGTTCTCATTACACCCAAGGTTTCAAATTCCGATTGGAGGTTAGCGTTAATTCCCGACCTTTGAGGTTCCCCACGACTATCGCTTTCGATTCTACGGTCAACCACCTCCATCGGGGTGTCCGTCAGAGACGTAGTCTCCTTAACCAGGTTCGATTCTATGACCGCTTCAGTAGTCTTTGATCTGATATCGCCCTCCTCCAAATCGTCTTCATTATTTTCTACATAAAAGGTATCCGAAATCCCATCCTCGTCATCTTCTTCACAGTCAGTCTTATCATTGTCAGATGATGAACGTTCGTCCATGGGGTATCAAGTATGTTCAGTTGCAACTATCAACTAGATTAAACACATACTTAATAATGTAATGGGTGAAACATGATATTTACGAGGTTGCATTTTTAAGTTTTACTAAAATATGTTTTAGACAAATATGTCACACAATTTATAATTACACTAATTGTGAAACCTGTATATTATACGGGATGATTAAAACAAAATGTTAAACACGAAGGAGTAAACGAAAAGTTTATTTTGTATTTGAAATATGAAAAAAGTGAAAATTATGAGAATTTGATTAAAAAAACATTCAAAAATAAATAAATAAAAATTATGTGTTTAGTTGTTAGACCCGTATAGTAAACGGGTTAATTATAACAAAATGTTAAATACGAAGGTTTAAATTGTATTTATTAGAATTTGAAATTTGAAATTAATATAGTTATTATCATATATTTAATTAGAAACTAAATTAATGATATAATGGAAAATAAAAAATGAAAATAATGACAAGTGGAAAACAAATATCTTTAAATTACCACAATTTAACATTTGACAAATTGAAGAAAAAGAATAACATGTGACAATAAGATTTTTATTTATTAAGGAGAATGTTTCGATATAAATTCATATTAGTCTATTATCGAACTTTAAAATATTTTTTTTGCATAAGTTCTTTTAACTTTATGATTTTTATACATAACTAAGCACAATTTTAATGATTTTTTTTAATTAACAACTTAATATTATTGGATTACATAGCTTTTTTTAAACCATTCCATACATAATGAATGGTCATAAGTGGTAGGACTGTTCACTATTCGGATAAAACCAAATTATCCAATTGGACAATTTGGATTGAACAATTTGGTTCGGATATTCGGATTTTTGGATTGGTTTTCAACAAAACCGAATTATTATTTTGGATTTTGGATTGATTTTGGTTTATAAAATTAGAACCGAATAGTCCAAAATACCGAATAAACATTTATTATTTATCTATTTATAATATATACCTATTGTTTTTTTTTATTAATTTTGTAGTTTATTTTTTCTTATGGAACTTTTCACCCGATAAAAAAACATTAATATGCATTTTCATTCAAAACTTTTCTATCTATAAAATATTTAACTATAAGATATCTTCTTATTAGTTGTTTATTAATTTCAAATCACAACTAAGTAATTTGTTTTTGCTTCTTGTGTAAAGTTTAGTAATATTAGAATTATTTGTCGTGTTAAAATGTTTAGGTTTTTGAAAACCGAATTATAAAAACTGATCCAACCGAATTGTAATTGGATCGGATCGGATTGGATTTAAATTTAGTTTATACTATTCGGATCCATGTTTTGAAAACCGAAATCCATTTGGATTCACTTGATCGGATCGGATCAAACCGATCCATCCAAACGAACAATCCTATTAAGTGGTACATCTAACCCATTTTATTTTAATGATATATTATTTTATCTCTTTAAGTATACTTTACTTTTTAATATTTTTATATCTTTACTAAATAAATTCTTTTTATTAAATATTTAAGGGCTTCTTATTTATAAAATATAATTTTTATAAAGATAACATAATATTTTCAATGTTTTTTATTTTATTTTGAAACTGTAGCATTATATATATATATATATATATATATATATATATATATATATATATATATATATATATATATATATATATATATATATATATATATATATAACCGATATAGTTGTATTTATATGTATTAAAATACGATTTATGTTTAAAAATTGACTAGTTAAATAAAAGTTTTTTAAATAGTAGATAAATAAGAATATATTAATATTATATATCATAAAAGATCATTTTAATATATTTAATAAAAGAATTATTTTAGTACATCTAGCATCTCCTTGCCCAAAAATTTTACAAAGTTAATTATCGATAACTAATGATCATTTATTTGAAAGTATAACTATTGGAGATGTTATAAATAAAACCCCAATATTTTTGCCAAATACTATCATATCCTTACAAAATTTCGTTAGATAAATTCATGAACTTCATCACATTATTTCGTATTGAAGACCATTCATAAATTAATCTGGTAAAGGCAAAAGTATTTGTACAATTTATTTACAATAAATAATCACTTTTCAATAATTTCCAAAAGATGATCGTACATTGATTATTTTAGTGATTATCACCTTTTAAATGTTCATTACAAAAATCGAAAGAAATGTGTAAATTGTAATTCAAGTGACCGATTTTCTTCTTAATAAAGCCGTTCCATAACCCTCGCTGCGTTGTCTCTCCTCTCTCTCTCTCTCTCTCTCTCCAACGAACTGTGTGAAAAAACGAGAGGAAACTGAGACAAAAAAAACAACAGAAAGTAACAAAAAGAAGCAAATCCTCCAAAATCCGTATCCATTCCTACAGTTTTCTTCACCACACAATTGATTCTGGTATATGCTTCATCTTCCATTCTTCTCCATCTAATTAAATTTTTATCTGAATTCTTGTCTCTTTGTCTCTCTACTTCCTCTTCTTCTACACTACCTATTTCAGATCTGTTTTCACTTAATCATGATTTCTTCTTGAAATTATTGCACAAACAGTGTCAATTGGTAGCGGCATTTTTCTCTTTGTTTGAGGCGTTTCTGTAATGGAAGACAGCGGTGGTGGTCGGAGCCGGCATAACCAGTTGGATGAAGAAACTAACGCTCCACCTGCACCAGCCAGTTTAACGCTCGGTGGAATCCTGTCGATCAAGCAGACGCCGCCTTATCGGATCCAAGATCGTACTCTACTGGATCTTATACGCGATGATCAGACTTGTGGAAAAGAACCGAAGACGACGTGGAAGATGATTAGGGAGAAACTCCGGCTCAAACTCGCTGGTTCAGTCTGTACAACCACCGCCCCTACTCTCGCCTCTCTTATCCCCATTACCACAGAGAGCAATCGTCTGTTGACACGACATGGTTCGACTCAGCGGAACTCCACCGACGAGTCAACGTGGCAGTTGAATTCACCGCAGGTAACTAACTCTAGTAACATACCGGAAGCGCAAACAGCCAGGGTACAAACTGACTCGCCGGTGGAGGAAAGTGAGCAAACCTCGACGGAGGAAAATCGGGGCGCCGGTGGAGAAGGAGAACCGGCGGCGGCGAGGATGTCGTTGATGTCGCTGTTGGAAGTGGATGGATCCGCGTATTTGGATTATGAAGAAGAAAAAGAGGCGGACGAGATGGAGGAGGAGGAGGTGGAAGAAGGCGGTGGTGGTGGAGGAGGATACAAGTACAACAACTGCTGCGTGTGCATGGTAAGACATAAGGGCGCAGCATTTATTCCCTGTGGGCACACTTTCTGCAGACTCTGTTCAAGGGAGCTTTTTGTTCAAAGGGCTAGTTGTCCATTATGCAACAATCTGATCTTGGAAATTCTTGATATCTTTTAGTTCAAAAAATACAAAAACAAGAAAATTAAATTCTTGTTTCATGTGATTTTTGTTTTTTACAATATCTCTGGTACATTTAGTCCAATTATGTAAAGCATTTATCTCACACTGTTCAATGTTTATTTATTTAAGGACATTTTTAAACATATACAACAAATTGACTTTTTAAACAAAACATGTGATTCTTCGCAAATTAAACCAAAAGATATAATATGTTAATTGTAGTTTATGGAGCCAGGTGAGATACGATTTTATAATTCATGATAGTTTAAATAGGTAAAAATTAAAGATTGTCATAGAAATTGATTAAAGTAAGAAATTATATAAATAAGTATTTAATGGTTTTCAGGTGTGTGATCGTATAGGGTCTGTGTCAATTGTCATAGGGGTCTAAAATTTTAATTCATCATGATTCTGTCATTAATCCGTTGTTAATCCATCACTAATCCGTTGTTAATCAACATATACCTGACCCTAATGAGTTCTATGTTATTGAGATAATAGTGTCATATTTTCCAATTAGTGATTTTGCATGCTGATTTAGTTTACTGAAACAAAAGTAAAAGGGTGGGGTGATAGTGGGTCCAACTGGACACCAGTTTTGTTCATTACTGCTTTTCAAGAAACAAAAATCCGTCTGAAAAGAATCCAAGAAACGGAATGTTCAATTTCAGTTTAGTTAAAAAATAAATATTACCAAACTTGTTTAAATAACTCTTAAAAAAACAAATGAAAACAATTTTAATTTCTTATTAAGGTTTGACATTTTCAATTGTACAAAAATAAAGAATAAATTCAACCGGCCTGACAGACAATTTGAAAAACAAACCATGGTCCAAATATTCCTTTTACTTAATCCATCTATAATTTATTATTTAATCTTGTCTTTTGTAAAGGTATCCTCGTCATCATGATTATTATTGTCTTTTATGATCATTAGGAAGCATCATTATGGATTAAATGTCGCGTTGGTGGATTAGTAGATTTTTTTGTTTATTTTTGCAGAAGAATAATAAAGTGAAAATGACTCTGGACGGTAAGTAATATTTGAGTTTGTTTTCATTTGATTTTTTTTTGTACCCAATATATCATTGAACTTGTTGTTTGTATTCACCATAACCCTTTGACCGACTATCACATGTGATAATCGGTCAAAAGCCGGTCAAAAGGATTATGGTTAATACAAACAACAAGTTCGATGGTATATTTGATTATTGGGTAAAAAAAAGAAAGGGACCAAATAGAAACAAACTTAACAGTTAATTACCCAGAATATTTTCCCAATAATAAATAAGTGATATGTTAAGTAAGGGGAAAAAAGTTGCCAAAAAGAATTTTCTTGTTGTTGATGCTTTGTTATCTTAGATTAACTTCTTCTGCTCATACTTACATAGATGATATCAATTGCTCACACAGTCACACAGATGTGCCTCTCCTTTTTATATTTGTAATTTATAAATTTTCTAGTTTAGTATCTTGGTTGGCGTGTGACTATTAACTAAAAGTTTCTTACTGCCTCCAAAATACATGAGATGAGCACCATGTCTAGAGTTATAAATGAGAACAAATGAACATGAACGGTTACACACAATTTTTTTTTTCTTACATTTTGTTTAACACATTATTTTGTTCAAGTTTGTTCGTTTATATCCATTAAGGTGCCAAACAAAAATAAACAAACAAATATAAAAGCATAAATAAACATAAACATTCAAATTAGAATAAAAATTTTGACTGGTAACACTTTGGATATGTTGATATTATTTAATAGTGCCCCTTTTGATATTTTTACGGAATTCAGACATTGTAAAACTAAAACCATTCTTACAACTCCATTTTTCCTCTCAACAATTCTATAATATTATCTATATTATGATAGAAGTATACAATCAACAAAATAACATAAACAAAACAAACGAAATTGAATGAATATATAATACAATACTTGATTAACAAGAAAAAAAATACTTGAATATTGTTTACAAAAGATTACAACCACGAGTTTTCATAGAGATTGAGGTATACATATGTAGTGTCCTAAGACTGAAACACAAACTCTTCTTTATAGAGATTGAGGCCTACATTTAAGATATACTTTACGCGACTTTTGAACATTCATTGAGGAGTGTAGGTTTTTTCCTTCACAAATTACTCACGTATGACTTGATTATATGTTTTAACAACTAAAAATGTTTGATTATTTATTTATTTTTAGTATAATCTCATATGCAACCATATATTGTAGACATGGTGAATGTGTCACTTATTTCTACTGAAATAACATATTAAAAGGAAGTAACCGACATCTGCGATAAGTGTGTCACTTATGTTGAGAGTTTTTCGATCACCTTGAAATTAAGGAGATGAAGATTCTGGTGATTGGACATAGCAAAATGAGGTAAATGAAAATTATGATAAGGATGGTCGAGACTGTTAGTGACTAGTGTTGATGGAGTGAGGAGAAGAGAATGAAGTGAGAAGAGAGTTTGAGGTTTGAAATGAATGAGTTGATACTTTTGGAGAACACATCAACTATAAAAGAACACAAAAATAATTTTTAGGAAGTGGAATCATAAATGTATTATCTAGGTTATGTGAGATGGTGTGAGGTATTTGTTGTAGGATGTGTCATGTGTTTTTTAATTTTCTTCTACACAGTTGATACCGATTTTTTGTTGAGAGTGGGTGGGGGTGGGGTTGCAAGTGTATCTAGGGACAGAGTACGATGTCCACTTCTATATGTAGGGGCCATTGTAGACTATGATGATGTTTGTTTTTCGTTTAGAAGCTCTTTTAAACTCTTCTAAGCTTTTATGTGTGTAGGCAGGAAGACATTTTAGCTTGCAGACTATTTGTTTTTTTGAATATCGTGGACCTAAAAAGGTCTGCATGTGGAGAAATTATTGTATGCATCATATCCTCCTATTATACCTTACATTCGAGTGGGGGAAAGGGTGTTCTTGTATATGTCGTGATTAGTATTTTTTTCGTTTACTAATTATTTCTCTTTGTATATGACATGATCAACATGCCATATATCTTTTATTGAAGCAACATCTCTGTAACTTTCCAATTTTCAAAATAATTTTCATTTAAGATCAAAAGCATTTGTTCCAGTTCCATTCTTAAAGATCTAATAAAAATCATTTGTTTCAAACAATAAATCATAGTATAAAGATTGTAAATAAAAGGTGCAAAAGTCTCAAAACATATCCAACGATGTCATGCAATCACATTGTTCATTTCCCTTTGCTACTAGAACAATCTGCAACATTCAACTTAAAATCATAAGCACAAAACTTAGTGATTTCCACAAGATGCCACATACAATACAAAATAATGAGCCTAACCTAACGGGTCAAATCCAACCATGCATGCCTAGCCTAATGGGTCCAACCCAACAAGCATCTAAGCATACAAGCAATTAGCATACATTAACACTCAGTGAGAAGACTCACCTGATCAAAGAGCTGAAGTCAACTACCCGAAGCCCAACGAATCAGCTACGCGAACTGCCTAATCAACCATAGGCTAACCCTGGGTCTATAGCTCAAAACCCCAAGTTTAACCAAAAGTCAAAGTGCTCAAAAGTCAACGGCCGCGTTATGAAAATCAACCCATCGCGCCACGAACCACAACGCAACAAAATAGTCGTGAATATGCCAGTCAGCACGCTGTGATACTCTAAACCACCGCGCTGCAACATCCTGTCTAACATCTTCCTTCTTAAGTCCTTAATCCTTTCAACCAAAGGATAATCCTTTCAGATCTGGGTCTCTTAAAGATCTTAATGGATAAAGTTTCCAACTTTATCCAGATCTAAGCCTCAAACTTATCAAATATTGGACCTTAACTTTAAAAAGGCCAAAACTCTTGCATAACACCAAGGGAATGCATGAACATCCATCTTTCCAACATCTAACAAGTCCAAAAGCACAAAAAATTGTTTCAAAGGTTCGGGAGTTCTTCCAACTCCAAGAACACAAAGAAAACTGGACAAAAAGGGACTAAAAACACTAACCAACACTAGATCTATGGATGAAAGCACATAAAGCTTGGATCTTGAAACTTACAAAGGTCCAAAGATGATGTGAAGGCTGAAAATTCCAGATTGAAATGCTTCCAAGATCAATCTTCCTCTTTTCTTCACTCAAAAGCATAAAAACAACATCAAGAATGAGGTTTGGAGAAAGGATGAGCTTGAAAGCTTCAAGAGAGGCTAGGGTTTCATTAGAGATACTCAAGGAGGCTGCAAATGCTGAACCCTAGGTTTAATACCCTTAAATATTTCCAAATCCAGAGGCCTAAGGCTTAAGCTCATACAGACCACAGTGGAATCACACCACAAGAATCATAGGCCGTGTCACAAACCATGTTGATTCTTAAATCCTTAGCAAAATAATTCAATCAAGGCTTTCTCATTGCTTCAACGTACGATAGACTTAAAAGATCAATAATCAAAGGAGGAAAACACAATCAGAACTCGGTGTTACAATCTCTACTCTTCAAGGGAAGTAAGTGGAAGTATGATTGTATGCCTAGCAACATCTCTTTCCCCATAGAACAAGCTTATGAGAAATGGATGTAGGTGTTCACTTTTAAATCACCAATATTCTCTCCTCAAGCTTTTAAACTATAGTTATTTAGAAAACCCAAACATTCTTAAAACATTTTAACTTTTACCCATTAAATCAGTATATGAATAAATAAATCAGTATATGAATATATCACATTATTACTCTGGGAGCTTATTTGTGCACAACAATTATATTATTTGTGTACTTTTCCCAACCAAATTATTTTGTCCCCAAAAGAGATCAAATTGTCATCATCCAAAAATAAGTGAATTATATTATACATACAATTAAATTACAAAACGCCTTATGAACAGTATATTATACATACTTTACACACTTTCTGGAGATTGTCGCTTCTGTCCCTGTCTATTACTAAACTGGTGTCGCTTAAGTACTGATCCTCTCTAATAACATTCATTAAGGGAAAACAGTTAATAATATGAAAAAAAAAAATCCGATCCCATTGCTGGGGTTTTACTAGTTCGAATTAAGTCAAGTCCTATAATAATAGTTTGGACTTTATTGCGTTACAAATTGTACATTGCACTAAATTTAAGGACTTACCTTATTAAATAAAGAAATACCAATATCCATGAACTGCCATTATGAACATTTAAAGACACCCATGATCCATCATCCATCAAGAATTTAATTCAACTTTTTCCACTTTCCCTTTTTACCCTTGCAAACAAGAAGTAAACAAAGAGCTACTCCAATTTGGAGCCAGATGTTAACTGATTTTTCAATAAACTAACTACGATGACTTGAATAATCATAAACAGATAATCAGGGATATACAGTTTATTGAAGTTACGAATTGTCAACTATTTTTATATTTATCTCGATAATCAATTTTCTTCCAGCTACTCATACTAACATAAAGGGGGGTGTGAGAAAAAACCAAAATCAAATACCCAAATCAAACCGAATGATGTTTGGTTCAATTGATTTGGATTATTCAGTTTTGGGTTAATTTGGTTTGATTAGCCAAATAAGGATACATACCTTATCCGGTTTGGGTTTTGTTAAATTTTCATTATTTTGGTTAAATCGAATAAGTTATTTAATTATATATATTTTTTCTATAAATTAATATTTTATATTTAAAATGTTAAATTAGTTTCTAAAAATCATTTTGAGCATATAAAGCCCAAATAGGACAACCCACTTATCTAGTTAGCTTCGAATTCCTCTGTTGTGCTATCTAATGTCTATTTTTTTTTTTAATTATAAAAAAAAAAAAAAAAATCATGACTTTCTTATTAATTTATTTGATTTAGTTTTCCTAATGTTCTTGTTAATTTGTTTTCACATTGTATTATTTGGTTTAACCAGTAAACCAAACTGAAAAAACCAAAAACAATACAAAATTACAATAAGAACACATAACTTTAGCATTACAAGTTGTTCTAGAGACAAAAAAGGTGGTAGAAGGATCTCAGACAAAAAAGATCCTAATAGATTCCAGTCATCTCAGATATTAAAAACAACAGGAATCTACCAAATAAAACCACTCCATCAAGATACAAACACTACCCATCCATCGACTCCCTTAACTTTTGCTCTTTGTCTTTTTTTCTTTTTAACTAATAATTCTAGATGACACCATGAAAAGAAAGAGCAAATTACTAACAAAAAGGGTTAATAAGTTTACATAAATCATCCCTTGGTTCTCATGATTGTAATGCTACCTTTTCCTCCTTCTGTACGAATCTTGGTTTTACCAACAACAGGCTTCCTTGAGAAAGCTGAAGTTGGATATGATTTTTCAGGATTTTCATTTTCACTTTCATGGGATTTCTTTGATTTTGATGGTGGTGGAGTCAGTATTTTCTGGTTTATATCTTTTAGAGTAACTGCTCCTTGCATTCCACATGGTTTTACAAATGCAAATGGAAGAACAACCGATGAAGCTATCTTTGTTGTTCGAGTCTTAATAAAAGACTTTTTCCCTAAACATTACAAGAATTATTAGAAATATAATGGTATTATTCATTTGGAAAGGATCAAAACAACTTTTTTTTTTGGAACAATACACACCTTTTAAGATGATATTTTTACGAGTAGGAGTGGGGATCTCTTCATCATTCTTAGATTGGGAATTCTTCGATTCTATAAACAACAAAAAAAAATATATGTGATTAGTGAAAATATTAAAATTATGAAATAGTAAAAAGTTTCCATACCTGTAAGCTCAATCTGAACAGATGGATTCCTGTTATGAACATTTAAAAATTAGCGAAATCCTTTTGGTAGTTAATTAATGAAGTTGATAAAAAACATACAAATCATTAGTGCTTAAATGCATCTCTGTATCATCTACAAGACAATCATGTAGCCAACCCTCGTAACCAGATCCAGATGCAGGAATATCATCTGAGAAACAATGCAAAAGTTTCACAGATTAATACAATAATCTTTATCATATATTTGGATTATGGTTCTTATAAGTGTCAAACCTGTGAATCCATCAACCCATTGATTAATATCAGATAAAGCTCCATTCAAAGAAGCTTCCCTCTCCTGATCATAAAAAATAAAAAAAATAAAAAAGGATACCATTTTATAACTGGTGGTCAAAAGAAATTAAAAGATAAAACTTAATACTTTGTCCCATTGACATCAGTCAGATGCATGTCAAATACAGTACAACTTGTTCTGTCTTTCTCTTGTCATGTGTAACAAACGGGGACTAAAAGAATATAAATTTAATTCATTTGACTTACAATAATTATTTGAAATGGGAATGGGAATGTTTGACTAACCTTTGACTTTAGATATGTGGATGAGAAGTCCTTGCCACAAACGGGTATCATGTCCACATCCACAATTTCATTGTCAAATTGCAGCATTCGGCGTCTCTTTGCTTGTGAATAGGCTTCTCTATATGGCTCTTTTCCCTTGTTTATGTTTTCTGCATTTTCATTCCTAGTGATAAATATCACAAATTCAACAAAAATATAAAATGAATGTTTTTTTTTTCTTTGAAAGATATAAGATTACCATTGTTGGTGACTTGATAAGCCAAATCCTCAAAGGACTTTGCTGGGGTAGTTTCATTAAACACATAAGTAAGATCATCTTCATTCTCATTTGCATTGCTCCATAGGCTGTTAGAAGCAACTGCTTACAACCATTTTAACAAATCATAAATAATAAATGTCAATAGCCTATATAGTATATATATCATGGTTAAGGAAGATAAAGAATTGTGTGTTGAGTCTCACTTGTTTGCAAACCATAATCTTCATCTTCCCAATCCCACATTTCAGTGCTACAATTCACCAAAAAATAAAGGAAAAACTTCACCAATCCACAAAAGTATTAGACTAAGATTCATGGAATTAAACAAGATCCAAGTCCCAGATTCTTCTTCTAAAAGCCTAAAGTAAACAACACGATATTGGTAGAAGAAATTCATCTGCATTTTCCCCAAAGCACATAAAAAACCATACAAACTCACAAACAAATGCATCTGAACATAAGCAAGCAATTAAAGCAAAATCCCTAAGGTAGCTCCTTCATTCAAATGCCCTAAACGCCACAAAGACAAAGTTGACATAAAATCCATCTGTATTTTTTTCCAATACACATAAGACACCATATAAACTCACAAACAACTGCATTTGAAAACACGATCAAGCAATAAAAATAGTAGAGTAAAATCCCTAAGCTAGCAAGCAAAATTAACGAAATCAAGCAAAAATCAAGTCCCAAATCCTTCATTTAAATGCCCTAAAACACCACAAAATTTGCATAATTTGTCTGAAGTTTACCCCAAACACATAAGAAATAGTATAAAATCACAACAAATGTATTATAAATGTAATCCCGCAAATAAAATACTGCAAGAAGCAGAACGTAGCGCTAGCACGTACTTGTCATTGTTGTTGTGGTCCATTTCGGTGAATAATTAAAACTGCAAGCAACTCAATGATATAATTTCAGTACTACACTCTTCTTCCTGCTGTAATCATAAGCATAAGCGTGCCTTGAAATGATATGATCCTTAAAAGTTAAAAGTGTGAAAAACAATAGAAGAAGTTGTCGTCGGAATATGCGCAAATGGCGAGGGAAACCGCCGGCTTTCTCTGTCACTCGCACCACACTTCGCCCCCTTTTTTTTCCTTGTTTAATGGCTAATAATTTTGATTGTTTAACATAAAATATTAATAAATAATAATAATAAATAAATAAATAAATAAATGCGGGAGATAAAATGATATCTAGGTTAGCTATGAGGATGCGTGGACGGATTTTATTTTGTAAAAAAAATCATGAATTTTGACCTTTTTTTATTTATTTATTTATTTATTTTTTATCTGACCTTATTAATTATACTTATTATATATGTTTTTTTATGTTAAATAATAATGTGTTTTGATTTGTTAATTTTATAAAAAAAATACACTTGAATATTAATGAACCATAAATCTATAATGGTTGTATGTATTTTATTTATTCTAATAGTTGTGAAATCTATGTATTGAACGAGTTGATTAAAAAAATAAATAAATATAAGGTGTAAATATTAAATATTTTTTAAAATAAAATTTTAAAATAAATACAAACGAAATGATGAATAAATAAGTAACTATGTCAATATATACTAATAAACAAATTATTGATATATTTTAAATAATTTTGTTGACTATCAATGTGTAAAAATTAAATATTTTTTAAAATAAGCTTTCAAAATAAATACAATAAAAACATGAATAAATGGATAGTTGAATCTAAAGTAATTAAAGATTATTGACATATTGTAAATAATTGTTATGAATCACAAATTTCTATAAACTTATTTGAATATAACTGTTAGATGCAATTTGTGCACTTTTTTGCACACCTTTTAGTCCCATTTCATGCATCTATTTAGCATAATTGTTCTTCTTTTTTCTTGCATTTCATTATATTCATGTTAGTCTCTAGAACAACCTTATTTTCATACTTACATCTCTTTTTTAGGTAAACCAGAGCTTGAAATGCGCTTTGGGAGGTGTCGGGGAAGCATTGGTGAACATTTCGGGATGATCGGACGAAGAACGAAAAAGTTGGAAAAATCAAGTTTGGAATTGGAGTCAGAGAGGTACACGGGCCGTGTTGGATTTACACTACGAAGGAACACGGGTCGTGTTGACCAGAAAAGAAGAAGATGTTGACCATGCTGAACACAGGCCGTGTCATTTTTACCTTATGTCCAACACGAGCCGTGTTCGACCCAAAAACCAACTTTTGACAGTTTTTCCTATCTTTCATATTACGGGTTGAGGGTCATTTTTACACACACACAACATATCATAGCATATTTTCAGAGGGGATAGCGAAGGTTTTTGCAAGGGTTTGATCAGTAATCATTTGGAAACATTATTTCTAGTATTTATAAGTTGTAATTTCACATTATTTCCATATTTTAAACTTGTGATCTTGTTCTAGCCATGTGTGGATAAAACCTTAGTTTCTCCAATTTCAATTTTTGACTTCTTGGTAGTGACTTCAATCATATGACATGATGTTTGTTCTTAATTTCTATCTAGTGAATTTGATTTTGCTTTAATCGAATGTTTGATTCTAATTGTGATTTTTATTGGCCATTTGAATTAGGGTTAGGTCATTCAAGTTATCTCTTTTACAAAATCCGTAATTGTTTTGTGAAATTGAACAAGTAACAAGCATTAAATTGATCTCTATTGAATGAATTTAGTGTAAATCTTATTCACACACTTTTACACTACCGAGCTTGTGAGGAGTATTGGGTGTTGTTGGGAACATTCACATAAAGCTTCATGCAATCTTTTAATCTAATTCTAAGAGCTTGTTTAGGTTAGGTTAGTAAGGTTAGGGTTAATCAAAGAGCTTGTTTTGGTTAATTAATGTGGTGAATGGGAAGTGTTAGAGCTTATTAACACTTTCAAGTACTGACTTAGATAGAACTGAACGAATGTTGTGTCATCTTTGAGTCACATTGCTAAGTTGTCATACATGAAGTTGGAGTCCTTACAAAATCTGAATTTAATTCACTCATTTAGCTGACTATTTGTCTTTCTAATTTGTTTGTTTAATCATTGCATTCAAAACCCCCCTCTTTAATCTTTTGTGAACAAGTACCTTGCGCAAAGAGGTATTAGACAGATTGGCCCGTGTCTCTATGGATCGACCCTACTTGCCTTGTACTACATGTTAGTGAAATATAGTGGGATTCTTTTGGAGTATATCGTACCCCTATCATTTGTTGGGTTTAGGGATGAGCAGTTTGTCCCAAATCCCGATCCCATACCGGTACCATACTGGAACCGGTACCGAACCGTACCGAATTTAAAAATACGGGACGATACTTGATACTCCAAATACATGAAATTCGGGAATCGGTACCGCCGGTACCGGTATTAGTACCGAATATCGGTACCATTCCCAGTACCAGTACCAGTAATGTTAATTCAATTCGGTACTCGGGATTCACTTTCAATCAAATTCGGTATTCGGGAAATCGGAAACGGGACGAGTCGGTACCAGTTCCGTCCCACACTCATCCCTAGTTGGGTTTGACACGTCTAACAATAACATTAGATGTTATATTGCTAAGTTTATCGTCAATATCTAAAATCAATATTTTTAATTCATCTCTACTTTTAACTCTGAAAATGCAACATATAATTGCCCATAAGTGAACATTAGTTGTCTCAAAAACAACCATCACAAAATTTTTTAAACTTCTTTTTTAGAGTAGTAACACGTAAACAATATGCCACTACATAACATGTTATGGCACTTACAAAGCAATATATAACAATTAATCATAAATTACAACAAAAAATTGTTAGAAACAGAATTTAGAACATGATATAATGCAATGTTACAAACTTATTATTCATCACCATTGTTCAAAACTACGTGTCAGACACGAATTTACATGATACGAATTTGACAAATATTAACACGAACATGATACATAATTAATATGTGTGATATGTGACACAACACGAATATACACGTTTTTAACCGTGTTACTCGAAAACACAAATAAACACAAACTTACATTAATTTCAATCGTGTTTATACATGTTTATATGTGTTTATACATGTTTGCAAGTGTCATCTGTCACGTGTTTATGCGTGTCATGTGTCAACCACTAATTTAATTTATATCCATATGTGTTACAGATAAATTCATTTTTGACACACATAAGACAAAAAATACGAATTTAAAATTTTTGTCACCAAGAAACATGGATTTTTAAAACCCATATAAAGAAAACTCGTGTTGTATAACAAATTGTCGGATCTACCTATACAAATAACCCTTCGGTGGGCACCATAGCAATTGAGTCTTAACATAGACGACTTGTCTAATCGAATGGCCATTCCCAAAATTTGCAAAAAAAAAAAAAAAAAAAAAAAAAAAAAGGTCATTTTCGAAATTTGTATTTATAGAACGTGGTCAATTTGGTGTTTATTCATTATATCATTAAAAAGTACGTGAGCTGAATTTATACCGTTCAAATTTGTATATTCCAAAAAAAAAAAACAAGATAGTTTTGAGCACAAGTTTTTCTGGTCCAAATGTGTCTTTTTCTTTACCGCTAAAAAATTATTGGTTAATAGTAGTTGTGAATTTACCAATATTTACGCGTTTTCACATTTAATTTCTAAATATGTCTATGCATGTTAGAACTCTCTATTAACAACCTCTGCATTGTCTTATCATTTTCAATTCTGACGACCCATTAATCCAATAGTTGATACATACATATATATATACAATCAAATTAATTTGTTGTGGGTTTGTTTTCGCAATATTCAGGGTTTAGTCAAATGAGTTTTCCTCCATGGATGATAACGACGTCGGTAATGGTCGCTTTGTTGGACTTTTTTTTCTTCCTTAGTGCAGATGCAACAAGAACCATTGGAGGTTTTGATCAAAAGAATGTTGCATTTGATCAAAATTATAATGTAACTTGGGGAAACCATCACGCTCAGTTACTTAATCAAGGAAAGGAGGTTCAATTGTCGTTGGATCAATCTTCAGGTATTCTATATATACTTCTATCTCTTTCTCATTTTTATATATTTAGGTTCTATATTTTTACTATTTGATTACCAACCCTGATGATATATAATATTTTATTTTAATTGTAATGATACCAATTCGTTTTTGTAATCAAAATTTTGTAAAACATAATAAATGAATGACCATCTTTGATATGTAGATATGCATGTTCTTGTATAAGAAAATTGTATTGATTACGTTAATCTTAACATTTTATTGCAAGTATGTTCATGTCCATGTATGCATATATGGCGTACAATTGATTACTTTATAATGTGTGTGTTCATGATGAATATATAATTTGTAGGTGCTGGATTTGCATCGAAATCTTATTATGGATCTGGTTACTTTCAGATGAAGATTAAGCTACCCACCAAGGATTCTGGTGGTGTGATTACTGCTTTTTATGTATGCATGGGCGAAACTTGTAGATCAATATTGATCTTTTATATATTTTTAAACAAAGCAGTATAATTAAAGATTAGTGTGAATATATATGATGAACATGAGCTATTTAAAAATCAACCATTTGGATCAAATCAAAACTGATTTAATTTCCTTGTGAAGCAAAATGAGAGGGAGAATAAAATTTCAAGCTTGACTTGGTTTGACGATAACAACACTTAAATGGGGTTGGTCTTTGTACTGATTTTCCAACCCTGGATTTCCAAAAAGAAGTTTATATTTATATGTGTGTATTTTAATATGTATTATGTATGCATATAAAGGTTGGAAATATATAGTTCTAAATGTTTAGCACCATTCTCAACTCCTAAGTGTCGATCATTAGTTAATTACATACATATTTCAATATGTCTCTCTTTAATTATGTTGCTTTGATCGATGCAGATGTTTTTAAATACAACTATGCATGATGAGTTGGACTTCGAGTTCTTGGGAAATCGACCAGGCAAACCTATTACTTTACAAACAAATGTATTTGCGAATAGTATTGGTGGTAGAGAGCAAAAATTCACTCTTTGGTTTGATCCCGCAACTGATTTCCATTACTACAAATTGTTATGGAACCACCATCAGATTGTGTATACACTTAATTATTTTATCTTATAAAAAATATATGCATCATC